CATTTACCATCGAGTAAATTTCACAGATCATTAATTTATTTTAAGAGTAAAATTTGTAAATTTTATTTCGAATAAAATTTTGATTAGAATGAATATGTTCCACTTTTAATGAATGTTTCTTTTCAAAAAAAAAAAAAAAATTTTGAAAATTTAATTTTTCTTTTTTTTTGGACTTGAAATGTTGAATTTTAATGAAGTGAAATGAAAAAAAAAAAAACAAGTAAACAATGTCCATTAATTATGATTAATGAAATACCTGTAACTATCTTTGACCTGTAACTCAGTGATCTGATTAGGTCAACTCTATTAATTAAAGGGTCAATCCAGTTTTCAGTATAGTCCTACCTGGTAAATTGTTGAATAGTTGAAGATGAATTCAGAAGAGTAAAAAGCAATTTAAGTTACAAATTTTACGTTTAATTACGTAACGCATCTCACGTAACGCATCTTGATAATATGATCAGTAAATTTACAGATTAAATTTTTAAATTGTTAATATTTCTGCATTATATGTTAATATTTCTCGAGAAAAGCCTGCATTATAGGCTTTTCTCGAGAATATTTGACGAATTATTCAATTCTTATTTATTTGAAGCAGCTTTTATCCTGCCGCTTTATTTATTATTTATGAATTAATCAATAACTAATTTGTTAATATTGCGCGCTCCTTTCAATTAAACTATCATTTTTCATTTAAATATTTAAAATGATCAAAGAATATTTTAGTGTAATTTAAATAATATTAAATGCATTGAAATTTATTAATTTAAAAAATTTTTTAATAAAAGAATTTGTAAACACACAGAGAGCACTGCAAAAATAAATTGAAAAATTTTAAAAAATTCAATAAGTAAAATTAATACGTCATTGTATGAAAGAAATTATTATATTACTTGAAATTAATTAATTTAAAAAAAATTTTTTTGAATATATTACCATTTTTGGCTTATTTTTTTGATTGCATAAAAAATTTCCTGAAATTTAAAAAGTTGAAAAATTAATAACAACAATACAAATATGCTAATAGTTTAATTTTAATTTACATAGAACCAAAAAAAAAAGAAAATTGATATTAATAAGATTTGCTTGATGGAAAATTTTTTTTTTGATTTATGAGTAATTAAATTTCTTTTAACGTTTTTCTCTCTTTTTTTTTTCATTTGGTTATGTCATTTTCCTGAAATTAAATTACAAATTAAATTAACAGTTAAATATATTTTGTTAGTTTTATTTGAAATGCTATTTTCTTTAAGCAATCTTTTTAGCAATAATATTTCAAAAAAAAAATATTTCACTCTTATTTATTCATAATATTGTGGGAAATATTTCATTTTCAATAACAATAATATCGATTTCTAATTTTTTACACTAATAAAAAAAAATGAAAATTGGTTGTAAACTATGCAAAAAAATGATAGTATAAATATATTTATGATAAGAAATGCAGAAATTAATCTTACAATCTAATCAGATAAATGCTTTTTCCCTTTTTTAAAGATTACTTTTAAAACTGCTCCAAATTGAAATATTTAAAATAGTAGAATTTGAAAAATTAATATAACATAAAATCAATTTTTTTTTTTTATCATCAAAATTTAATAAAACTTTAAAATTAAACAAAACCAACTGAGTGCAATAAAATTAGCTTTTTTTTTTTTTTTTTAAAAGATTACTTTTAAAACTGCTCCAAATTGAAATATTTAAAATAGTAGAATTTGAAAAATTAATATAACATAAAATCGATTTTCTTTTTTTTTTATCATCAAAATTTAATAAAACTTTAAAATTAAACAAAACCAACTGAATGCAATAAAATTAAATAAAATTAATGGTATTAAATAAATGAAATATAACCATTTTCTAATTTATTGACACTTTAAATTTTTATTCATTTCAAATTCTATTTATAATTTCATTTTTTATTAGCACTAAAACCTAATATCACTTTCATTGATTGTCACATTGAATGGATTAATTTTTGATAGACTGACTATAGGGCACATTGGGAGCGCCGAAAAGTCATTTTGGGTGGTTAACAAAAAGGAAGTTGACACTTGACCTTTACTCTCGACTGTTTCACTTCAAAATTCACTTTTTCATTCATATTACTTAGTCATTCTTAGTTAAGTACGATTAGGACAACTGCACTTCACGTTAGCATTTTATCCAATGCACACTTCACACGTGCACTTACCCCCCAGGGGTCACGTAAGTCACATAACTAACAACACGTGACTGTCCTCGAACTGATGCGTAAGTCACTACAGACAGTCGCACTTAAATGTGAGTACCACACGCACCTGAAATGATCCTCTCTGCCTCTCTCCGTGTCTACTCTTTTGCCATACTCTTTGGAGTGCCATCTAGTTGTCTGCTTCTCTCTTGCTCCAATATATCTATGCAATAATGAGCCATCGCTCCAACTTATCGATCAGATGTGTTGACAGCATCATAAAATGGATCAGTCTGCTTTATAGAAATAGTATGATAAGTGCTGCAGACAACGATGCTGTGCAAGAAATAGCATAGTAACATATGAGAGCACTCGGTTACCACATTAAGAGAGAGATAGTGAGAGAGTAACCATAAAGTGTTAGAAAAAAAGAGAGCACTATGGATGGCAGTGATCGATATGGATTATTGAATAGTCTTAATTATAATTAAACTGTGAAGAGAAGTAGAGATGAGTGAAAAGGATGAATGAGTAGTGTATTTTACTGAGAAAGATTTGAGGGATGAGGAAAAAGGAGAAATTGTGGAGAAAAATATGAAATAATGTTTGAGTGATGTGAGATCATCAGATGGTTAGCGTGTTGACGAAATAGAATTGGTTGAGAAATCGATCAGCTAAAGAGACGAGCAGACAGTGAGCTATTCTATGCTGTGAGCCAACCAATGGCGCTGCTGTTGCTAGGACGCACGCATAGAAGGAGAGAGAGAGAGAGAGAGAGAGAGAGAGGGAGGGCATGGCGTGTGGTTGATGTGTGGTAGGAGTGTCTGTCTTGCAGGTGTGTGCGTGTGCGTGCACTCACTCGTATGCACATTACGTGTAGATTCACTGGCATCACGTAGTGTCCGTGTGGTAAGTGTAGGAGTACGAGCAAAGTCGCTTTAATTCTTTCGTTCCAACGAATGCAATCATTTATCATGCCAATGTTACTACTCTGTTTTCTCTGCTTGTATATGTATGTGTATACGTAAGTGTTGCTAAGCTTTTACCTGTCCATACCTGTACTCATCTTCTCCGTACGTGTTCGTACGTATATATGTGATGACAGAGTTATTACTGAGTAACGTATACTTACTGAGTAACGTATACTCGATTGACATTCTGCTATTTACTACTGACAATGCTGTTACATCTGTGTGGCAACTATGTTTCACTTTGAAATTATGTAATCAATCGTCAACAATTCGTGCTGTCGATATAAAGCACAAATGCAACAGTGCAAGTTGCAAGTTGGAATAAAATAAATTGCCATAAAATGTCTGAGTAATTGATATTTCTTCTAATACTTTCACTAATTTAAATAAAGTTTCAACGTTGATAAGTTTTGTTTTAAAATTGTCTACCATAGTGGAACTCACTTAGATATATTCCTCATTGATTTTTTAATATGAAATGTTTTTTAATATTTAAATTTAAAAAGAACGATCTATTATTTCAGACTAAATAAATTTTTACCTTAATTGTACAACTTTATTTAGAAGAAAAAAAAGAGAGAAGTGAAGACCGGTTGTAATGATATTAGTTTATCAAAATTAATTTTTTTTTTTTTTGTGAAATTCAGTAAGTTTTTTATGATCTTTTATCTTTACTGGATTCGTTCTTTGAACTGTAAGTTAGTTTACTGTATAATGTTTACTTTGTGAGAATATCATGAACTGATCCTGTAGAGGAACTGATCATCTTGTTGATCATTTTGCATATGAAATTATTGTTGGCATATGATGGATTTTTATAAGAATTCGATTTTAGATTTTATATTGTATGGAATGTTTATTGTTTCTTTTGGATTATTTTATTCTTTACATTTACATAACACTACAATGAATTTAATATCTATTAACTTTTTATTGTGAACGATGACATAACTCATAACAACTTCCTTTTGCATACGAGAAAATAATATTTCGGTTTTTTTTTTTTTTTTTTTTGCCTTTTTTCAGATAAAGTTGCATTGTAGTGGATAATTCTTTGTCATATGTTTGATCTATGTATTCAGTTTATTGTTTCTTTTGGATATGTATAACCGTTATATGCATATATGAGAAGTTTTTAGGTGTATTTTGTATGATTATAGGCATATGGAATAAGATAGACAAATCGAATAAATTGGTTTGAGGTTTCTAATTAATATCTTTCAGTTCGGTGTAAATATTTGTAATAACTTTCTGTTGTAATACTTAGTGATTATTGTTTCAGGAAATAGAGAAGCTATAAAATAGTACTGATTAAAATGTTGAGAGAAATGTTAGGGCAAAGCCTAATAGCTGAGATTGTGTGAAATTCTTCAGTTATTTTCGGGTAAGGCTATTAACGATATGTATGAGCGGTGTATATGAATTTGCGGCATATTCTAGAAATTCTTTCCGAGTTGAAAAAAACATTTTCAAAATTTTCTTCCTTCCTCATGCATACTAGCAAGAGGAAGAAAGAATGCACCTTGCATACATTCGTCCATGTTTCGTTGCATTATAAATATTTTAGAGAATGAAAACTGGTTTCCTTTTCATTTCGAAGTTTCATCGCAGTTTTCATACTCTAGAGTTATTTATAGGAGTGACGGATTGTATGTATCCTAGAAAGCATTTGAATAAAAGTGAAACGCTGAACTTTGGTATAAATATTTATGTGCTTTATTGTTATAATGGATTTGTTACTGATATCGAAATATATGTCACCATTGAATGAAATTTTTTTGTTTTAAATGTTCGCGAAACATGCATTTATATGAAATATGTAATTGATAATATCGGATGCTGCAGATCTCAGAAAAATGGAACGACGAAAACGAAAGTCGTCAGTTGAGGAGTATCTCGATAGGTTAATGGAAAATCCGGAAAAAGTGCAACGCTGTTCGGAATTCCATATGAATTTACGGACTTTTTACAAAAAGCGTTGGTTAGATTTATTATTATTTTGCTTTTGATGCTAGGATTTTGGATTTGTGATAATTTAGAATCGCGTATTGGTTTGTTGTTTTAAACTCATTTTGAATGTAACATTTTAACTACCCTGCTTACTATAGAACAGCCATTTTAGCATTCTTATGATTTAATTTACCATGCTTTTAATTCTTGTTCTCATCATAGTTACATAAAGTAGAGTTTTCCCAACTTTTTCTATCCTTTTCCGCCCTTAACTAGTAACTTATTTTCTATTATTGGGAGATTGCGTACGCCATGTTACGCCATGACCTTACATCGATTTTTCAAAAACATTAAGCTGTCAATGGGTTTTTTGGAATCAAATTAGATGTCGGGCAGTATCAAAAATTTTTCTTTGTAGGAATTGTCGGTTGAAGTCTCCACATATTCAAGGTGTTGAAGTGGATCTTTTTCGTTTGTATGACACTGTTATTTCGATGGGTGGATGGCAAAAGGTTTACATTATTTTGTTCAAAATATTAAGTAAATATATTACTCAAGAAATATTGTGTAAAACTCTTTTATTTATAGTTTATAAAGTATTTTGAAGTCATTCTTGTGGTACAGTTACTTAGCGTTTTTTATGCTGAAGGCACTACAATTTGATTGCCTAATATTTGAGTTTGCTATTTCTTTATAAAGTTCAATTTTTTCACTTTTAAGCGTATTTGCAGAATCTTCAAGTTTTCTTAGTAGTTAATTGCTCATTCTACTGCTTAATACATAAGTTATATTAGTGCGGTTGTTTTTAGTAAAAACGGACCAAACTTTTAGCATAGAAAATAAACATATAATGCACTGGAGATTTTTGCTTTTTCAGGTTTCATTTAATGAGAAATGGGGTGATATTGCTCATGCAGTAGGTCTTGCGAACGGCGTAGCAGTTGCTGAACACGCAATCAAAGTTCTTTATATGCGGCAAGTTTTCGGTTTTTATGCAGAAAATTTGAAATGGCGATTGTTGGTTTTATTTTATTTGTTATTCCTTTAAGCTTTATACGTTCTTTTTAGATACCTTTCAAAATATGAGCAAAATGAATTAGTTGGTGAAGTAGATGATGCAGATTCAGATCTTTTAAGTTCGAGAAGTCGAGGTAAAGGTTTTTCATCGTTGGCAACTGCTGACTGTCCGATCAGTACAGGACAGAGACAAACTTCAGGTACAGTTACGACACTAATTAGTGTGTAAAATTAGATTGAATTTTGTGATGAATTGAGATTTTTTAATTGCTTAAAAAATTGTGAATTTCATGTCTCTTAGGGCATCCGTTTTTTACTGCACTATTTTGCCCTATGAAATTACAAAATATTCATTTCAATATATTTTCTTTGGTAGTCATTTGTCCTACGACAAATTTTTTTTATGCTTAATTTACAGAATATTTTCGATTGCGGCCAGAAAAAAAAGAAGCAGAGTATGATCGCATTGTTAAAAGTCTCCTTTCTGGATTACCAAATGAAGTAATTTGTTCATTTATCCTTCATGCAGTATACTGTTTTGATTTTTGACGAATCTTTTTTTGGAAAAAACCTTCTGTCTATTTGAGGTGGATTTTGCTGTGAATGTATGCACACTGTTATCACATCCTGGACCTAGAGTTCTTCGACTTGTTGCTGCTCCACAAATTATCACACTTCTGGTTGCTCATCTTGCGATCTTCCCAGACGGTTTGTGTGTTGCTATTTAGAAAACAAATACAAAATGGATATAGATTCTGACATTTTTTTGAAAATAAATTTTATTTGAAGATGAAGTTATTGTCTAGTAGCGTTCTTTTTAATTAGTTTTCAATAAGCACATATTTAATGTGTATTTCGCCCATATGTTTGATTTTTTGCAAATGTTAGTGGATTGTGTTACCAAAATTGGAGAGACTTTCATTTTAGGTGATCGAGCATTTTACGACTTGTACAAAAGTTGGGAATTGGTGTCTGGTCACAATTTTATTGCATTTTGGAGTGGGGCTGGTATCACTGATGATGAAGTTCTCAAGCTTATTCCTCATATCAAACCATCTATGGTAGAGTTTCTTTGTTCCAATTTTTGGATTATGATGAGCACCAGTAATGGCAAATGTTAAAATTTCGCACATATCAACGATATGGTAGATGATAATGAAATTTATCATATTTTTCTATTATCTCCTTTCATCTTATCAATTATTTTATTTTCAGGTCTCAGAGGAGGAAAGTAATATCTTCTGTGGTTTGGATACTGAATTTCAACCACGAAATGTTGTATCGTGGAGGGTGCAACAGGTGTTGTTAATCATAAGGAATCTTTCCTTTGAAGTGATTAATAAAGCTGTACTAGCAGCGAGTTGGCCTTTACTTAAGTATGTCTTTGAAAATTTAGAGGCACAACAGTTCACACATTAAATACTGTTTACTTTTTGCTTCGTATAACTGCAATATCGAATATGAGAAACGTTTAGCTTGCCTTCTTGTCTTTTTGAACATTATCTAAAAATAGCTTTTTCAAGAATTTGCATCTGATTATTGGTAGACCACAACATTACAAAGTCTATTATAATTCGTGGTTCATCTATTCTGATAGTTTATTTATTATCTTTTTTCAGATTTCTTTTCATTTGTTCGAATTGTAAATGGAGTATGTTGAGAACAGCAGCGCTTGACGCACTAAGTAATATTGCTTGTGAAGTAAGCAAGCGTTTATTCTACTATTCATTTTCCAGGATTTTATAAAATTTCCTAAGGTTGTATCCGATAAGTTTATCTTATCAATGCTTCTGTAAAAAAAATTTTTTAGTCATCAAAGAACTTGACTGCTGTATTTTTAGTATATCAAATTTCAGATTGATCTTATGGCGGAAGAATCATCTTCCACCAATCATTTATTATTGAAAACGGTTTCATGCTGTCTTCATTCTGACGATAAATTTCGAGTAAGTTTGTTAAGGTGTTGATCTAGGCAATCTTATTTACTTTTAGATTAATATAAGAAAATATAGGAATTGAGTTATTTGAAAAGTAAAGATACCATGCCTTTATTGAATAGTACAATTGCTTTTTTTGTACCCTTTATTCAAAAAATGTTCAAAACGTTGCTTTACTAGTGGAAATTGATCCTATTGCTATACTTTGCAATACCGTCTTGTTTACGATGAAAATCATGGTACTTTATTGTTCCAGATAGTGAAGAATTTGTAAAGTAATTACTTGTAAAGTAAGTACTACTCAATAAATAGATTCTTTTATAGGTAATTCGGGCTCTCGAAATTCTCTCTGGATTGTGCAATAACGAGCGTAACGAATCTCTCATCTGTGAATTTCTCGATCATCGCATTTTATCAAAAATATTTACTGTGATTTCTGTTAAGGATATCATGATGTGTGTTTATACTTTGGAATCTCTATATCAGGTATGTTGTTCTATGACGTTTAGGCTTGTACAGCAATGTTTATTTGATAACCATTTTCAAATCTGGATTAATCCACTCGATTTTATGACCAGCTACAGTTTGTTAAATGCAGTTGTATTTCAGAAATTCCCAATCGATTGTCAGAATTTAGGTATTATCATTTAGTTCCTAGAATATTTTCATTGTTCTTTGGGATGGCCTTAAATGCATCTTTTATTATCTAGTTAATAATTTTTGCAGATCTCCGAACTGGGAGCAACCGCTTGCTACCAGTTATCCCGTTTTCCTCATGCAATTGATACACTGGTGTCTTTAGCAACAGTTGAAGCAGTTTCTTTTGGCCCATCCGGATTAATCGGGATGAAAGTGGTTGAGTTTCACGGCCCTTCACAGCTTGCTCCTCCGCCTCCTCAAAATGTACCAATATCTCAAAATCAGGTATAGTTTTAAAAAAAATATGGTTTTACTCTGAACGAGTTTTCGTTTGTCTTAGAAGTAGAAATTTCAGAATAAATTTTTTTAGGCAGTCAGGCCAGGTTCTTTTGCAACGCCTACACATTCTACGAGTTATTCGTCCAGAATGGTGACTCCTCGTGGTACTTCCAACACTTCAACACCAGTAATTGGAGATTCTAAGGTTTTCAAATTTTGTGGATAATTTTCTAGTTTGGACTGTTTGCGTCATGTGGAATAGCTGTTTTTCATAATAACTAAATTTTCTTCGAAATTGTATTAATTTTTTTTACTTGCAAAATTAATGCACTTGCGGTATAGTTTAATTCATTTGCACAGTTTTTATAGGTTGAGCAGTTGACTGCAAAATGGATTCGAATGAATTGTGTTTTTGAGATGGGCAGTGTAGTGCCTCGGGGAGAGTTATACGCGAGTTATGTTGATGACCTTAGGCATCGTTATGGTGCCCTTTCTGGCTCTGTTCAAACCTTTACAAATATCATGAGGTATTTTTTTTTTATTGTTTCTACATTTATCTTGGATCTGTTCTGGAAATTATGAGAATTAGATAAACGCAGCATTGTTGTCAGAAATATATTCTTCAATTAAGTTTCCACACGATTAGAATTTTTTCATTCAGAGCGGTGTATCCAAATGTCATACTTCGAGTTCAGTCCTCATCTGGTAATCATATGCCAGTATTTGAAAATATAAGGATGTGTCGGATGAATCCAAACACAGGCCATGAAAATCTTACTGGTAAGTTTATCTTCCATCTTTAGAGATGCTATTTTGCCCTGAGTTTATGGGTATTGCAGATTTGAAATTCAGTGAAATTAACCTTTCTTTAGATTAAGTTATATATTATTTTATATACCATGGAAAGCTTGCAGTTTCTACAAACACAGATTCTCATGCATCTTTGGTAGCGAATCATCCGCTTGTGCAGAAGATGTTAACAGATAACGCAAATTCACCAACAATTTTAAATGGTCATACCACGGTTACCGTAGTTGCTACTGCTGCAGCCATTGACAAGAAGTATTCCTTTTTAAGGCTAATGTTTAGAACTTTGCAAATTTTGGTTTCACTGAAATTAAAAATTTGAGCATATCACCCGAATTATGCATTTAGTTTTATTGTAACTCTGGCAAATTGAGCAAAATTTTGTTTCACTACTGTTCTAGCTGGAGTTGGGGAAGGATTTAGGTTCTTTATCCTGATTGTGATACTTTCATTTTATAGGTCAATGAATGAAACAGCTAACAACACGATGGTGTCGACGTCATATCTGGCAGAGGATGCGACCCGTCCCGGTTCCTCTCACGTATCGAATGTACAGCCCTCAACCAGCTTATCAATCGGCCAACAGGTAGTTGTAATTAATGCGCAATAGAAACATTCTAATTTCTAGATTATATGCAATTCAGTAAATTTTCGAACTTGTGGAACTGTAATAAAATCTCGCGAAAATCGAATTGAAGGAATAATCATCTGTGGTAGTTCATGAAATATTCTAATATAATTTGAGGTTTGTCGCGTGGCCATTGAAGCGCATGATTTCGTACCGGAGCAGCGGCACGAGACAAAGATTTTGCGTATAGAAAATGCTTCGCGAACAGTCATAAATACCGTGGATGAGAAACATGTTCCGCAAGTGAGCCTTCTTATTGCAGTTGAATCGTTTTATTTTTTTTTTTCTAATGCTAATTAGTTGAAAATTTTAATTTTGGTTTTAAAAATTTGCAGTCAAACAAATAACCTTACCTACAACATTGACGTAGAGTTATGGATCTACTCTTTCAGACAGATAGTTGTCTTTGCAGAATAGAAGAGAATTCGATCTTAATGAGGTTATTTAATGACTGAAAGTTGCAGATACATAATCAACTACAATCTAAAAGTGTTGTTGCAAGGCGTATCAATGGGATATGTGATAACCGAATTATAAATAGTGAAAGTGTTGCAAATGGCTTTGATAGTGAACATTCTTCCGAAAATACAGTCAGTCAAACGTTGAATGGAACTCCAACTTTCTCAGGCTTGAAAGAAGTAGGATTTTTTGCCTTTATAAACCATATAGGGAAGAAATGACTAGATGGTTCTCGATCTTAACTAAAAATTGTTTATGTTAGAAGGGAAGTTATATAGTAAAAGTTCTTTACTTTTATATAAATCACCAAGTGCGTAACTCTCATATGAAACATTCACCAAAGCTTGCACAGTCAAAGATTACTGATTGCATGCTTTGTCTATATTTTCATGCTGTTCGACCGTGCTTACTTGTACACTGCACTGTATACGATATATATCGTGTTTTTTAATTGCATTTTAAATCTTATTTCTTTCATTTTTCTTCTCTTCATATCTTTTATATCTATGAGATTTTTGTTGGTTGAATCAGTCTTTAGTCATATTTAAAATGTAAAACATAATTCAAAATTTAAGGCGAAACCGATAGTAAACGTTGCAAAGGTGAGTGTTGATACTCAAATGGTACATCCTTCGACATCTTCAATGAGTAGCACACGTGATGATGATTGTGATTCATTGAAATCTTATACATCATCTACGCCATGTTCTCCAATCTCTATGAAGCGGCGTCGGGTATCAGCCTGTTCCAGCAGTAGGCCAACCACATCTTCAATTGACGGTGACGATTATTTGTGTGAATGGAACGGATGCGGAAAGTAAGTATAGTCCTTTTTGTTGTACTAGTACATAATGCTCTTTATACCTTCGAACTATTTGAAATTTATCTGCTTGCAAAACTACTTTAGAATATCATTTTTAGGCATTTCTCATCTGCATCTTTTGTTCTTTATCACTGCACCAAGGAACATGTTGGCGATGATCACAGCATACAGTGTCACTGGCCACGATGCGATTCAACAGTGCGTGCCAAGTGGTCCATGGTGACACATCTGCAAGATCACCATTGTAATGAAGCTGCTCTAAAAGCTGCAGCCAAAAGACGAAAAGAAGGTTGATGACTACAGAAATTTATTTATATGGTCTTCTATTTTTTATGCGACAGTTTTTTAAGTAAATGACCTACTAATGAGATGAAATTGAGCATAAACATAATCTGAATTGTCGTTTGAGAATTATCCTCATTCACAGTTATTTTTTACAATGCTCTTTGTTGTTTGCAGGCCATGGTTTGCCTTTAGGACCAGTAAATCCGGAAAGACCACGAGAAATTGTGCAGCACCCGGGATATTCAAAGAATGCAGCTGTTGAAGCAATCCGAAGGCATGCCTTCAATTACCTTCCCCGTGACATCACGGTATGCGTATTTTACGTTCTCATCATAATAATTTGTGCTGCAGTTTTTTCAAAGTGTCTAATTTCTTTTTTGTTTTTGAGCTGAATTGAATTTAAGAATTAAAACCTTTATAAAGCGCAAATATGCGAGCATGTTAAAAACTTATAGGATGATCCTGAAGGACCCGTGACAAAAAGCATCCGTTTGACCAGCTGTCTTATTCTCAGAAACTTGGCGCGTTATTCAAACGATGGAAGACGGTAAACTTTATTCTGTTAATTATCACATGACCTTAATTTTAACTTAGAATTTTGTAGAACAGGAGAGAACTTGATATTTCCATTTTGTCTTTTTTCTTGCATATGTTATGAATGCATGTTGCTTGTCAGGTCAATTTTATCAATAAATTGATTTATATTTATTGTAGACATAAATAAATTGGATTGTGTGGTTACTAATTTATTTCAGACTTCTTCGCCGACACGAACGTTTGCTTAGTTGGTTATCGTTATCGCGTGTGGAAAGTAGCTCAGCATTAGCACAACTTCTTGCTGAACTATATTCTCAGCCGTCTTCTTCGTCTTCCCCTTTCTCTTCATCCTCACCGTTATCACCTCATCGTACTTATCATGTGCCAACTGCATTAAATGCTGTTACACTCGCAAAAGCCTTATGACCAGACCAGTGGAATGTGTTTTATATATCGCAAAGGATATTCTCATTTTACAGAATCAGTTATTTTAGACTGAATTAATTTTTTAATTACATTAACAACCTCTTCATCTAATCAATTTGTTTTATGCTGCAAATACATGATTTTGTTTTCATTGAGAGAATAGTTGCTGCACTTTTGTTTTGTTAATTTTCTTTTTTATTTGAAATTTCTTCATCAATAGGTGTGATTTATTATATCTAGCTGAGTCCAAATTTTGTCGTCTGAAGCTATTTTAATCCCAAATTTTGATTAAATTAAGGCTCCAGTATGCGTATTACAAGAATTTTGCTATCCGTTTATTTTAGCATATGAATTTTCTTCCATGATACATATGTTTTGAAGAAGACAGTTAAATTACGTTTATGTATAAATGCTCTTTGTTTTGCGGACCATTTATAATATTTTGTAAAATTATATTCTTCGGATTGTGTATATTCATATGTTCGTGCTATTCCTTTTGTGATTTTACCATGTATTATGTGACATAAAATTGTGTCGTTGAGAATCTAAATCGAATATCATTTTCAGTAAAAAGAAATTGTTCCAACACTTTAGAATACTAGCAGTATGTATTTCTGTTCCAAATGTATTTCTAATAATCAGCTTAGATGAAGTTAGCAAATAGAATGTTCAAATTACTGGATAAGAGTATTCATATGATTCTGACAATCTATTGAAAGATAGTTGTAATAGCTGGGCTTTTGCTTACATTGTACTAGTGGTTATCATTTGTACAAAGTTAGATTATTGATGGATTACTTGGATAGATCATGAAGCTAAATCTTTTTGAGTTTTTTTTTTTGTAAATACAGGAATAAAATGCTTCATATCTGAATTCGATATCTGGAGGATGTAGTGAAAAAAAAGTATTGATTGGAAGAGATGACATCAAAACGGGAGGTATGCTATTATTTTCATCATGATGTACCGAATTTTCATTATGGCTCGAGACATCCTATGAAGCCACAACGTTTAGCTGCTTTACATAGTTTGGTTGTTAATTATGGTTTACATAAAGAAATGCTTGTCCTTACACCGCCTCGAGCATCTGCAATCGAGATTGAGCGGTTTCATTCAAAGTAAGTTATTTGCGCATACTAAAATCATCTCAAGTGTACTACACTACTATGATCTGATTATTGCATAGTAAGGAGGATATTTTCAATGTATTTAAATTGGAAAGGTATAGACATTGTGAGATTATTTTTATCGCTCAGCTATTTGAGATATTCTAAAATGTTGCATTCAAAATGCATTTTGATTATTTTTTTTATATCATTTTTTGCCGTAATTTTTGTAGGGCAAATTAAAATTATGTACGACTGATACCTTTCCATTCATTTTATTCTTGTTTGTACGCTGAAATCTTTTTTCTTTTTTTGAACAAATTAACTTGCATTGATTTCTCTTATTGTAGTACTTAAGATAATTATTTGAAATTAAGAAATATGAAGCTATTCTATCCTTACCTTGTAATTATCTGTTAACCTCACATAAATAAGATTAGACACAGAAATATGATGATTGATTTAGCTAGTAATTCTTTTGAAATTCTATACTTGCAGAGATTACGTGGACTTTCTTCAACGAGTGTCACCTCGTACAGCTGATCAATATGAGAATCTTTTCTCACAATATAATATTGGTGAAGACTGTCCAATTTTCGATGGAATTTTCGAATTTTGTTCCATTTATACAGGCGCTACGCTTAGTGGTACAGTTTAAATTCTATATGTATACATGAGAACTTCCCTAATTTTCTTTTTCTTTTTTTTTAGTTAAATTGAAAAGCAATTTATTCTGAAAAATATTTCCTTTGTATACGACAAGCAATAATATTTTGCAGGTGTTGCTCGTTTGAATCATGGTCTAAGTGATATTGCTATTAATTGGAGTGGTGGTCTTCATCATGCTAAAAAACGTGAAGCTTCAGGATTTTGTTATGTGAATGATATTGTTATTGGAATTTTGGAATTGCTTAAATATCATCCTCGAGTGCTTTATATTGATATAGATATACATCATGGTGATGGAGTTCAGGTAATCTTTATTAATAAACATTGAAAAAAAATTTTTTTGTAAGCAAAAAATGTGGTTGTTTTTTTTTGATTTGTTAATTCTTCTATTTTGTAGTTATTCAGTTTTTCTCAGACAAAACATTTTCAGGAAGCATTTTATTTAACTGATCGAGTGATGACTGTCTCGTTTCATAAGTACGGCAATTATTTTTTCCCAGGAACTGGGGATATGTATGATGTTGGGCAAGATAGTGGTCGTTATTATGCTGTGAACGTTCCCATGAAAGAGGGAATGGATGATGAAAGTATTCATTCATATATTTAATTTTGTAAGAAATAGATTTAATTTGTAAGAAATACCGATTGGACAAAATTTCAATTAACTTTTACTATGATGACAAACTTCAGTGTGTGTGTGTGAACTTCTTCATATCTATTTTCAGATTTCAGTTTTGGAATTAAATGCATTTCAGATTATCATTCCTTATTCAAACCAGTCGTACGGGCTGTTATTGATTGTTTCAATCCATCAGTTATTGTACTACAGTGTGGAGCTGATTCATTAGGATGTGATCGGTTGGGATGTTTCAACTTGAGCTTTTCGGGTCATGGGTTTGTTATCTCTGCTTTTTAAATATGTATAACAATTTTATTACTGTATATCATTGATGACAAATCCTCATGTAGTGTTTTCAGTTTTCGATTTCTATACAAAACGATTAACAGTAAACATTTTTTGTTTCTTTTAATTATTTAAGCATCACTTTAGGGAATGTGTAGATTTTGTTCGCAGTTTGGGAATTCCAATGCTTGCAGTTGGTGGTGGAGGATATACATTACGTAACGTAGCACGATGCTGGACTTATGAAACTGCAATTCTAGTTGGCAAAAAAGATGAAATACCAGATGAAATCCCAAATAACACTGGTAATATTTCCATTCTCTCTCGGAACCCTAATCCAGATTCCCAATAATATTTCAGATGAATATACGATTTAAAATAATTGTTTTCAGAATACCTGCAATTCTTTGCTCCAGAATTTACGCTAAGACCAACACTAGCAAAAAGGCAGGAGAATCAAAATACGAAAGAAGTCTGTCCAATTAAATACTAAATTTTTTACTTATAAAACGTCATTTGAATTCATATTAGGATTTAAATCTTTCTACATGCTACCTCCTTTTTATGAAAGGTTCTGGTGATATTTCTGCATAATTTTTAGTATATCACTGCTCTCAAACAAGAAGTGTTAGATCATCTGAGACAAATTCGTCATGCTCCTTCAGTGCAAATGCAAGAGGTACCACCCGATCTTCTAGATCCCGACGAGGTACTTTTCATTGTGTCTTTTTTTATAAAAATGTAAATTTAAAGGTTACTGGCATTAAAATACATATTGTGGACCATTCTCAAGTTTCCACTTACTTTTTCAGGTATTTTATGCACAGGAATCTCCTCCAGACATTCTTCCAACTGATAATGATCCAGATGGCGGTACATTTCTCGGTACCGGTTCCGAAACTGATCACTTGTCATGACTTCCTGGTGCTCACTGGTATGCTCTATCCTGAACCATTTTAGGAATATTTCGCTTATTGCATTTCAGACTAACATCAATATATATATTGCTTTAATAATAATAGTTTGCTTTAATTTTTTATATCAACAACCTGTATTGTTTCATATTTCACCGTTGAATTTAGGAATCTAACATTTCAGAGGTTTTTTTTTTTTTTTTTACACTCCATTTAGGAAACTTAAGCCAAAATTTTAATGTTTGTTTCTAAACATATTTTGTTTCAGATGAAATCATTCATGAAACACGAAGAATGAAGATCACAGGGGAAATATATGGTCATCCTTATATGTGGTTAAATAACAGATATAACTGTGATAGATTTTTTAAGGCTGTTTTTCAGATGAGATCAATTTGAATAATCAATTTGAATAGATAAATGCGAATAGAATAAACGTACTTATTATTTAAAAGATTATCAAGGTAACTCCAAATCTACAAAGAATAAAGAATGTTCATATCAAAAGGTTTAAATGAGCAAAATGGTTGAAAGAGACAAACCGAACATGTTCCCAAAATAAAAAAACTGCATCCAAGAAAAAATACTGCTTTAAAGACAATGATTTGTTTAGTATCAACGATTTGACTTTTTATTTCCTTCAGTTGTTCAGTAACAAAAAACAAAACAAAGTGTACTGAAGGTCGATTCTATTCTAGAGTACCGCGTAGCCCCAAAATGCCGTGATGGTGCACGATTATTTACCTCTAATGATGTTACATTTGGAAAAAATTAACTGTCGCGTACATTCGGAAAAAATATTAAAGAACAGTTGTATACACAAAAATTATAGAGGACAATTATATTATAACAGTGTAACGACTTTAGAGGAATAGTAATAGTGCATAGATAATGAAGTCATTTAATGTACCTGTTGCAGAAAGACGACTTTAAGCACAACATTGCCTTCGAGGATCGGAATAAGTTTCAATATGTTTCAACAACTTACCAGAATGTTATTAAACGATGGAAAGTTACCACAAACGCTTTTCATCGAAACACAACCGTTTTCAGCGCATCTTTAGGATGAATCTGTAAACCTATTGTAAACCTAAAGCAATTTTGTAAATACCATAAGCCTATTATCACATGCAAAAATCTTAAAAATTCTTTAATGAATAGGGACATGTTTACTCTTTGTAAAGCTAGATCTATTTAACTGTCATTATCAACATAGAAGAGGCGTTTGGTATCCTAATACATGTTTCTAAAATGTTAAGCATCTTCAAATAACCATTCTTTTGTAAGATACGACGCATTATTGATAATTTCTGATTAATTTTTTTGAAATCAATTTCAAACAATCAATTCCTCCCTTTAATATTTTCTTATGTTTATTAAATGTAATGATAACCGGAATTCAAAGTTCATTGCGGTCTACGGTATTACATTGACGAATGGTATTTGCATGATGTAAATGCCTTAATATCGATAAAACAAGAGATGCATGTTTCAAAGGTTGACTTTGGTCACAAATATAATTAATGACGAGTTCATGGGACCAAAAAATAATTTAAAAAAAAAAGAAATAGCACCTCAAGTACTGCTTCAGCACCATCATTAAATCTGTACGCAACTCGACCGTCAACAACCAAATGAGCATCATAACAACGTGAATGCAGTCGTAAACGCTTTACTAGACCACGAGGTGGGAATTCTGGATATGTTGCATTATATATTGGATTGCGAACACAGTAGGCCATATCTACAAAAAAATATTGAGATAAAAAAAAGGGTATCAAATAAAGCTAGAGGAAATTCTCTCTCTCTCTCTCAAAAGTTTCACCAACAAGAAATGAACAACGATGGAAGGAAGGAAAGATCACTTTTACAGTCTGGAGTAAACAGCAGACGACTATTATAAATGTCACGAATCCTCTGAATTAATGATTTGTCTTCTGTCAGTGTCGTACATCCGATCTCCTTTGAAGCGATATCCAGAATACTAGATACACAGTGGTCAGTCACCTTGTTTACATTGAAATACCACGAAGTCGAGCCAGATCCTAAACTATTCAGTCTTGTTTTTTCATATGAATCTTGATGAAAAGCATTTAGCATCTTAAACAATAAAAGATGTACAGCACAGAAATTTTAATGATATTACAATAAAGCACATGAAAAAAAAAAAAAAAAAGAGTAAAAATCACAAGTATTGTTTTGTTTGATAAGTAGTAGTTTCTATACATGGCTGTATATCTTTAAACATTCGTTACCTCTTATTTTGTTCATGCAAAATGGAAAATTGATACTTCAGAAATTGAAAAGCACGCTATGTTTTCACGTCGCATATGAAGTTTGCTAGGAGATTTTAAAAAATTAAAGATATTCCAGAAAAAAAAAGTGTTCTACAACACTCTGGGTTACTGGAAAAGATTTCGGTGACACCGAACCTGTAAAAATCGAACCTGTACATACTATAACACCGCTGCTTTTTTGTTTCACCATCTCACTATCATCATACTGAATTTCATAATACGAAACACGTGATGATAAACTCTCTCCGATAAAAACGTCATTTAAAGCTAAATCTGACAACACATTCACATGTCCTTCAGCAATGTTTCCTGATATTCTCGTTGATTCCAACATCTCCCTAAAATGAGAGATAATAAGTTTAACAAAAAAATATTAATGACGTGATATCATTTAAAAGTTAAAAAAAAAGCTAGTCTTAAATTTAAAAAACGAAATTACTGAGATATGTGCATGGACGAGTAGTGTACTGTGGATTAAAATCCCGCTGGAAAGTAAGCAATAATGAAAGAAAATTTGTAGTAATCAAATCATACTGTTTTTTTGAGTTATAAAAAGGAAGCTGCTCTTCATGCAAATAAAACGGTTTGATATCTCCAACATCACCTTCCAGACGTATGCGTATACGTTGTCGATATAACCATCTGAAATTTGTACTTCATGAAATACAACTGATACTTAGAAATTACGATTATAGAAAAATTATAGCTTAACTTAAATCACAAATGATTTATATGAGTTATTTTTCAATCACATTTCTCTGTTAAATGGCAATGAGTAGAGAAAGGATAAAAACAGAATTTCCCTGTTTTACTGCTTTGAATGAACAGAAGCCGTCAATATCAGACAATCAATAGTCACCTTGTGAAAAAAAATTTTAATAGTGTTAGTATCGAAAACAAGATTTATTACCTGAAATCACCAGCAAGTAATCGTTTTAAGGCATCTCTGAAATATTCGTGCGATAGTTTCTTCAGCAAACAAAGATGGCCCTCTGAGCTAAAACTGGAATAACTGTTTGCGACATAAAAATGTAAAAGAAGATGAAGTGGAAAAATAATAAGTACCACATAAGCACATTATACATCCTAATTTTATATATCAATTTGTAAAGTAGAGAACCACTTCTTATGCACTATTTTCATTTATCCCTAATTTCTCAACGATTTACATTCATCCATCTACACTATAGATTGCCACTTCATGAAAAATGATATAGTTGCAGAATTTTATTGACTCTAAAATTCATAAGTCCTAAAACTACAAGGAGAAAAAAAAATGAAAAATGTCGCAAGTTAATTACAGGTTTCAACAATGTTCGAAACATTATAAAACTTTAACCCCATAGGATCGGTATTTATTCCTATCACAGGTTTCTCCGCCGATAAAATTTTTGAAGCTGCGTGAAGAAATGTTCCATCACCACCCGCAGAAAATATAGCATCAGCCCATGAAACTGCAGCATTATTATAGTCGACTTTCTGTACAGTTCGAGTTTCGATACCACAAGCTCTGACATTAAATAGTGAATTAATAATGAGCAAAGCATTCAGATAAAACATGCAGACTTTTATGAAACTTTTGCAAAAAAAAAAAAAAAATCGAATGAAAAAAAATTATGATTTTGTTTATAAGCGTGCAATTACGACAATATAAAACTATCTGAATATTAAAATCTGATTGAAAAGTAATCTACAAACCTTAGTTCACCTATCACAACATTTAAAAACCGGTAGTGTTCGTCATAACGCCTCCGAAGCCTATCATAGTTAGATCCTCGTCGTGCCAACTTAAAAAAAAAAATAATGTGTGATTCTAAAAAGTAAAATTCATTCCAGTTGATGGACAAAAAATAGTCACACAATTTTTTAAAAACAGAAAAGAAAAAGGAAAGGGAAAGATGTATCAATAAATTTTACCGCTTTTTTCAACTGAGTTTCGTCAAGAAATGGATGATTTTGCCTTTCATATTCCAACCGTGTTAATTTAGATAGAATCAAAACCTTTTTAGGTTTGAAAATAGGTTTCTGAAACATTATAAATTAGTCCTATTAAGTAATGTCAAATAATTGAATTAGTTTATGTAATTCATACTACTATCAAAAAATATCATCACTGGAACTAATAAAATGAGATATAGAAGTAAAATTAGAACTCATTAAAAAGTCCAAAAAACTGACACAAACACTGGTTATTTTATTTTTTCTATTTTATTAGTATTTTTATCAAATCAAAAATAAGTAACCTTCTCGACTGTGCTGGAATTATCGCTAGTCTGTATTTTCATTCCTGCATTACTACAATATGACGATTTATATGTAGCAGCAATACTATCCATACTAATAGCAAAAGGCGGTATTGCAACGTCGCGCGCCAATAGTGAATTATTTACCGAAAATCTCTGCATAATGCGTTTCATTTGATTTTCAAAATAATTTTAAAAACAGCAATTGCAATAGCGATATGTGATAGCATAAGTGCAGTGAAAGTGCATATTGTACTGATTTGTTGCTGCAACTAATTTTCGGTTAGTAATAAACTTGAAATGTAATTAAAATGATAAACATTAAACTAGCTGAACATTCAATACAAAAATACAATTCGTAAGTGAGGTGCAAATTGTATTTTTGATATTGAGATAGAATGAGAAGCAGTGTGAAAAGCATTAATGAAAAAGATAGACAAAAGCGCTTCATTCAGTATATACGAATCAGTTTTAGTTATGAACAATCTCAATGCTAATCAAATTGTGCATGTAAATAATAAACAAATTATAGTTTGAATATTTTTTCATCTACATTAAGCAGAATATATATATATATATATATACAAATAAAATAAATAAAAGTGTGGGTAGCTGATGAAATGAGAAAGGAATGAAATGAAAATTAAAAACAATTCGTTATAACAGTTTTACACTTATCAAATTACAGAATGAAGAAAGAAGTGCAAATGAAGAAAGAAATGTAAATAAATGCTAAACAAAAAAAAAAAAAAAAGAAAGGAAAAATTATTGAAGAAATCAATATGTACAGATATTGTAATGAAATGAAACATTCATCGATACATGTTAACTAACTAACAAAACATTTAAATGAAATTTCTGAAATTAATCATTGCTGAACAAAATGCAAACAGTATAGCATTAACAGTTAACAGTTAACAGGAAAACCGGAATTACTGGAATAAAAAACCGGAAATGCTTATGTCTTGATTACCGCAATCGCAAATAAACGTTGACATGAAAAATTGTTATAAAAATGGGCTACTGCTATATGTTCAATGATCTGCCTCCTCCTTCTCTCTTCCATTTCTTTTCATTTCATTTTTTCACTCTCTCTCTCTCTCTCTCCTTCTCTTTTTCTTCTCATCTTTTTTCTCTGTAATCAAAATATTATGGAATTGATGATATAAGCTGACTTTACCCGGTTTTGTGACCTGTAACCTTTAACCTGTTGTGTGACCTATAACCTTTACCTATCTTCATAAATACAACTGTTTATCTCTTATATCAATCATCACTTATGTAAGTAAGCATATTTTGTGATTGATTCATTGCAAATATTAGCATTTCACTGCATATAACTTTGTTTTGTCAAAAGATTTTACATTTCAAAAAAAAATAAAATTTATTTTTTAAAAAAAAAAAAGTTTATTTATTTTTGTGAAATGTATAAGGCATACATTCATGTGACACAGTAACATTTATTAGAAAGACAAAGTGAGAAACGGTTGTATCGGTAGCAATGAGTAGCATCAATTCGACATCTCAATCGGCGCTTTTATTGAAAAGACAATTGCAAGGTTTTTTGTTAATGTAAAGAGAAAGAGAGAGAGAGAGAGAGAGAGAGAGAGAGAGAGAGAGAGAGAGGGAGAGAGAGAGAGTTCAACTTTTTGTTTGGTTTTAAATTTTAGAAATTCCATAATTTAGTAGATTATTTAATGAAAAGAGAGAGAGGGAGAGAGAGAGAGAGAGTTCAAATTTTAAACTTTTTGTTTGCTTTTAAATTTTAGAAATTCCATAATTTAGTAGATTATTTAATGAAAAGAGAAGGAGGGACAGAGAGAGAGAGAGACTTCAAATTTTAAACTTTTTGTTTGCTTTTAAATTTTAGAAATTCCATAATTTAGTAGATTATTTAATGAAAAGAGAAAGAGGGACAGAGAGAGAGAGAGAGACTTCAAATTTTAAACTTTTTGTTTGCTTTTAAATTTTAGAAATTCCATAATTTAGTAGATTATTTAATGAAAAGAGAAAGTGGGAGAGAGAGAGAGAGTTCAAATTTTAAACTTTTTGTTTGGTTTTAAATTTTAGAAATTAGAAATTCCATAATTTAGTAGATTATTTGAAGTATATATATAAATAATATCATTTGCAATAGTAATATCTTTTTTTTTTTTTTTTAATTTTAACAACAAATCCTCAATGATTGTTTAAAAATAAGAAAATTTATAAATTATCTTAAATACCACTAATATTATTACGGAATGAGTTTTAATAATAAAAACTGCTAGCTTTAGTCTTTTTTTAATTTATTTCATAAATTACTTTAATTAACTTTTATAATAATTTATTACATATTTTATCACTATTAAATATGTGTGAAGTAAATTTGGAAAATTTATTGAAATGAAATAATAATAATAATAATAATTTATTTTTCTCATTTAGATTTGAAACGATCACCAGTGGAAGGATTCTCAGCTGGTCTTCGTGGTGATGTTGAAGATATTTACAAATGGGAAGTGGTTGTACTTGGACCACCAGATACTCCCTAGTAAATTATTTTTAATTTTCAGTGAAAAAATAAAAATACACTTTTTTTTTTTCTTCCTTTCTTTCCAAATTTTCCTTCTAATAGTGTTATTCAACTTTTTTTTTTTTTCACTCCCTCTCTCTCTCTCTCTCTCTAAAAAATATCTAATAAAGGAAATATCATATGTTGTAATAATTTAGTATGATATTTATATCAAAACAAATATTCAAAATTATCCATGATTTTTTTTTTTTTTTTTAAATGAAACATTTTGATCATATGGAAATATCTCAAATAATTTTAGTGAAGGTGGTGTATTTCGTGCTACACTTGATTTTCCAGTTGATTATCCGCAACGACCACCAAAAATGCGATTTACTTCAAAAATTTGGCATCCAAACAGTTTGCTTGCTTCTCTGGTTGCACTATTAAAAGTTGTATTTTTATGTAAAATTTGAGAAATCAACCGAATATTCATTCTTCAGTATAGTATTAATTATCACTTAAATTATTAATATTATTATTATTATTATTGTTATTATTATTATTATTATTATTATTATTATTATTATTATTATTATTATTATTATTATTATTATTATTATTATTATTATTATTATTATTATTATTATTAATAGAATTCAGTATAGTATTAATTATCACTTGAATTATTATTATTATTATTATTGTTATTATTATTATTATTATTATTATTAATAGAATTCAGTATAGTATTAATTATCACTTGAATTATTATTATTATTATTATTATTATTATTATTATTATTATTATTATTATTGCTATTATTATTATTATTATTATTATTATTATTATTATTATTATTATTATTATTATTATTATTAATACAAATCTAACTAATTGTTGCATGAAATATTTGAATTATTTTATAAACTTTCAGTAGACATCAATGGCAATGTTTGTATATCAATCCTTCATGAACCAGGTGATGATCGTTATGGCTATGAGAAACCGGAAGAGCGTTGGTTACCGGTTCATACGGTTGAAACTATTTTACTATCTGTTATATCTATGCTTGCCGATCCTAATTACGAATCACCTGCTAATGTTGATGCTGCCGTATGTTCATATTTTATAACTGATAAGGCATCATATGTATTTGATAAGTATTTCAGTATTTCATTATATTAGTTTATAAATAGAATTCTTTTATTTTATTGATAAATGATGAAACATTTTGCAAGTGAATTTTTCCAGAATATTCCAGAAAATGCTTCGTGAAAATTATCCAGCATTTAAAAAGAAAGTTGCTGAATGTGTACGTAGAACACAAGAAGAAACTTAGTGATCAAATCTTTTCTTATGTCAATTTTTCAAATAGCTTTGTAAATTTTTGCGAAATTTATCGTACAATGAATAAGGTGTATTTATTTTATGAATTTGTAAAAAAAAAAAAAAAAAAACAAATCAATAAAATTATACGATTTTGTAACAGAAAAAACATTCCAATTGGCTTCTTTCAATCATAAATCTGTTAAAAAATAGTTCATTTTAAGAATTATTTTTTCATCAATCTTACATTCTTGAAATCGGAGTTCCTGAAATCGGAATCTTTAAATCGTAGAAATTAATTTAATTCATGAAATTGAAATTTTTAATTCTAAAAAATGATAAACCTGAAAATACTCCTAATAGAAAGAACGCAATTTTTTTTTTCCATATCAAAAGCAATGCATTACAAAAAAGAATTAGTTAATTTGATGAAGACAAATTATATTAACAAATTTCTTGTATTTATCAAAATCAAATCACGTATACGTCTATATTCCGTCAATTTCAAACGCTTTAAAATTACCGATGCGTAACGTACGATCATTATAAGTTTCAGTAGCATAAATTGATTTTAAAACGTGTATGTATGTATGTGTGTGTGTGTGTGTATGTGTGTGTGTATGTGTGAATGTGTGAATGTGAACCTGTTTAGGTAGTATATTAGCAAACCAATATCAAATTTTTATTTGAAATTATCAAAATGGAAGGAATAAAGAGGTACATACATCAAAGTGATAGAATTTTTAGCAGAGAGTAATTTCATTTCTGACTGAGAATCAAAACAAGCTTAAAAGGGAAAAAGGATGAAATTAGAAGAGAGAGAAAAGTTGTTGTATTTATAAATGAAAATGGGTTTTTGGATAAATGAATTTGGTTGATATGCATGAAAGGAAGAAGAAGAAGCATTTATTACAATTTACACAAGCATAAAAACACGTTTTTAAATTTTGATTATTGAAAAAGAAGAAAGGATGAAGAAAATGGTAATTTTAATTTACCTTTTTAAAATTAGCGAAAAATGATCGCAATAGCTTCGTTTGCAGAAGTGTGAAGAAAATAGAGAGAAAGCTAAATTGAGAAGTTCATTGTATTTTTGATGTTCATTCATTATCGGCAGAGCAAGTTGCTCACACTTCTTCCAATCTAATTCCTTTTCTAAAAATTTTAAAAAATATTTTTAATTAGTAATTTAAAATGAGAATTATACTGTTGTTACTTTAATAGTAATACTAGTAGTAGTAGTAGTAGTAGTAGTAATAATTGTAATGATAGTGGGAGTTTTTCCTTCATTTTTGTTATTTATTAAAATTTTAAATGAAAGAAATTAAGTGTTAATCAATTATTACGATAAAAAGAAGAAGCGCTAAAGGAGGAAAAAGAAGAAGAAAAAAACGAAATAAGGCGCTGATGTCCGAATGTTTCTACTTCTTGCTATCATGTTATCAGGTAATTTTTTATATTTTATAAATTCAAATGTACGACAAATCATATTGCATTTTATTTTGCATTTAGATCAATGTATATTCTCGATGAAAATCAATGTATATTCTCGACGAATCCTTTTTTAAATTAAAATTAATATCTCATTAATAAACTTATTGCAGTAGCATTTTATCTCTTTAATTATCTTTTCTTCTACTATTAGCAAATATTTTGTTCTAATTAATGTGAAAAAAAAAAAGAGATGGAAAATATAATTAAACATTCGATTTTATTCATTTTTTTTTTTCAAAATTTTGCATATAAATTTTTTTCACTGAATAATAGCCAAAATAATATAATAATTAAATAATTTGAATTAATGAGAATGATGTATTTATAAAATTAATGATCAATCATCAAGAATATGAATAAAATTTTAAATTAATTTACAGGTGTACTGGGTCAGCAATCATGGTTCTTGCTACCAATAGAATCATCTCAAAGACAAAATTTACAAAATACTTCAATTTTTACATCACATCCTCAGAAAGTATCTGTCTTAACACAATTGCAAATGCAAAATTATCAAAGAAATTTTGAAAAAAATTTATTATCAACAATTCATAGGCGTCAACAACAGAAGCAAACACAACAATTAATTTCACATTTGGTTAGCTTATTAGAATTAATATTTCATTAATAAATTGATTTTATGATTTCTGATTTTATGAGATTTTATGATTTCTGATTTTAAGCTTAGCAAAAAAGTTTTCAACTAATTATTTTTTTGTTTGCTATATGTAACACAATGTGACATTAATTTGCAATAGATCAATGTTCAATCAAATTAAAAAAAAAATGGATCAAACTATGATCATCCATTTATATTATTTTTAGCAATAATGTATGACAATAATTGAATAATTATTTAATCAATTTTATTTATGATTGATAATGAAAAAAAAAAAGAAAGAAAACAAACAAATATTTTTTTGATAAAAAATTTATCAAAGAGAATAAATAAACAGACATATCTTCTCTCTTTCTTTCCTTTTTTTTTTTTTTAGATATGAAATAAAGAAATTAAAAGTTGGAAAGAGTAAAATGATAAAAATGAATAGTAGAATGGAATATTTTAAAAAAAATGTTAAATGATTTTAAGCTAACCTTATACAGGAAGGAAATTTTTTATTACAGAATAATAAACAAATGCTACGATATGAAAATAATATGCGACATCGAGATTTGCCTATTGCATCAAGAGTGAATCAAAAAGTGATAAATGAAACTCGAAATATGGGTATTTCCAAGCATATACCTTTTATAAACAGTAATTCTCTTTTCCAATTATAACATCAAAGCTTTTTTTTTTTTTGGTAAATTGAAATAAAATTTCAGAATTTTATTGATATCGAAAAATTCACTCTAATAAACAAGTAAACATCATTTATACATTTTCAGAATATCTGAACCAAATAAAAATTTGCAAAACTTGACATCAAACAATTGTAAGGAACAGGTAATTGAAATTAGTTAGCACTTATCCAAACAAAAAATAAAATTCTAGGTTTACTCATAAATAAACAACAACAACAACAACAACAACAGAATCCTTCAAGATTCAAGCATCTACCATCTCCACAACGATTTGTACTACCGCAAGTCTTGTAAGTACTTGCAATCTCACAATTCAAAATTTTAAAATTTTAAAACTTACGAATAATATTTAAGCTATTTTTGTTTAAGCTATTTGCTTGACTATTATTTAATTTGTTATAAAATACGTTTGCAGAGAACAAATATCTGATATTCGGCCTAAAATACGACCACAGTTGCCTATTCTAGCAATTGTCAAGCCATCTAGGCCAAGAATTCCAATGCAAAAATTTGTGCCCCAGAAATTAGCACAAATGAATAGCCTCAATAGAAGAATTCATGAACCAGTTTTAGCATCATCAACAATACTAATACCCACTCATACATCACTAAAACGAGAAGATCAACAATCTGCGATAATTCTGGAAAATACTAATGAAATTCCATTTGTCAGTTTTTTTTTGTTAGCAAATAATTTCCAAAAAATATTATAAAAATTTCAAAAAAAAAAAAAGTTTTATTTATAAATTTTAATTATTATCGTTACAGAATGCTAATGATGCATTCTTAGAATGTTGCAAAGAAAAAAATGTTGATGCTAAATGTGAATCACGGTGCAATTTTGATATTTTGGATCGTCGAGTGGTAATCTTTTCATTTATGGCTTTTCACAAATTTCATTAATTATACATTAACATTACATTTTAATTCAGTTATCATATAGCACTTTAATTAATTAGGAAAAATTTTTAATTTCATTTGTATGTAAATGAAAAGAATGAAATGAAAACTAATGAATGAGAGGAAAATATCTTAATGTTATGATACTTTTAAAATAAGTATTGTCTTCTGTGATAAAGTTAACTTTTGAAAGTTACTTTATTATTTTTTTTTACACGATTAATTTATATGTAATATCTAAATTATCATCAGCTTCAATCAGAGATAATGTAATTTGAAGAGAATGAGAATATCACAAACTTTGATGAATTAATTGGTAAAAAATGAAGGCTTAAATGTGACACACATAATAAACAGACACAACATAATTTTAATATTATCAAAAAATAGAATTTGAGATACAAAAACAATTTATATACATAGAACTGAATGATGCGTTATAATTTTCACATATTTACCTTTTGATCTTAACATATCACAATTATTTCTAATTATCTATGCTATTTCAATCATATTATTGTAAATTAATAATATATAACTTATTAATTTATTCAATAGGAATAGTTGTTGTCTACGTACTGATTTGAAAGTATCAAAATCGGAAGAATGTATAAAAATCTACCAAAGGAAATGTCAAATAAATGCAACAATTAACATCCAGTTTTCTTTCAATTAGGATTCAAATAGGATGAATATACATTAAATTCTGAATTTTTGTAGTTTTTTAAAAAAAAAAAAAAAAGTGAATTTGTAAATTGCAGCTTACGGCAATGTTTATTGGCGCAGATCCATGTCCCCGAAATAATGGCCGGAGTTTATTGTCATGTGCTGCTCAGGATTCCGATCACACTAACTGTTGTCGTGCAAACGGTGTACAACAAACAGCTGCTGGTGACAAATGTTTAGGATTTTGTCAAATGACTCCCGAATCTAATTTCCAGGTTTTTTGGCCAATTCTTTAATTCATTCATATTGCCATGCTATATGAATGTCAGTGTTGAAGAACAGCTCTTAGGATTAACTCATAGTTCAGTTTTAATAATTTTGGAATGTATTCTTAGAAAAACTTTTCAGGGGAAAACAATTTTTTCAGGCAGATGTAAGTATGTTGCCATGTTGGAGCGTTCTCAAAGAAATCAAACAATGCTTTCGTCTTAGTCTTATTGAAAAGCGCAATATCAAGGAAGTATAATATGTTCAAATCGACGAACTCCAATGATATTAGAGTCACTAATCTTGATTCATATAAACTAGAATTCAAGTTTTATTTGTTAAAACCTCTCCCTCTTCAACATTTGATATCAACATTCGTTACCTAACTTTATGGGCCGCCCAACGACACCCGGAAAAATTTATATTTGATGCTATATGCAGCTAGAAAAGTTTTAATACTTTATCTAAAACAGTGCAAATGAAATTGTGATTAAGGAACAAAATTAACAAAATTTCCAATACTAATGTTCGCAACTTTTCGAGAGCAATTTTACCGCTTCAGCCTTTCTTTACTATCAACATTCAGGTAGTCTTCATCGGCAATATTTAGCATGAGACCACCGGATGGTAGATAAACCTGCAAGTTAAAACACATGAAATATTCAAATCAAGAACTACCGTGCTCCATATGTACTAGTTGAACATACCAGTAATTTCGACAATTTTGAATAAGTAAAATCAAGAACGATTTGCAAAATAAAGTTTATAAATGCTAATTTTTGAAAAATTGTACAAACAAAAAAAAACACTAACTCTGTTGTTTGCTGTTTCTGATATAATTTTCGAAATTTTCTGAGCAGCGCGAATTTTACGCAACTTTAAGAAACCCGGATCTCGTCTCATTGCTTCGCCTATCTGAAAAACACTTTCTGATTGATAATATATGATTCAAAACTGAAATTTGCACAAGTTGTCGAGAACAAGCTCGAAATTCCACTAGAAATAATCTTTGTACCGAACAATCGAATTTAGCAAAAGGTCAAATTTAAATCAATGTATTTATATTTAAGCAAATCATGTTAATCATTTATTGTAAGTTTTATTGTAATTCAAATTCCTTAATGACTCATAGATGGTAATGTGTTAACAAATTCCCATGCTAATCTGTCATATTATCTAATGCACATCTGTTCCAATCCTTCTTTGTTATCTAATTCCGTTTACAAAAACTATCTTTCCCATAGCCTTCCTCCTAGCTTCCATTGTATCAATCGCTTTATCTCTCCACCCTCAAATCATCCTATATAAGGGCAATTACCACTCAACCAGTGCATTCTTCCCAGCATTCTTCCCAGTCTCCCTGTTGCTTAGCTCATCCTCCTCACTAAATTGTCCTACTACTGATTGCGTGTTTGGTATAATTACCCAAGATTGTGCACTCGACTCAATTGTGCAAGTAAACCAACCCAATTCAATCCATCCACAACACAAGTGCAGCAAAAATAGAGAACTGTGCACATAGTGTGGAAACATTGACATTTTATCACTCTCATAGTAATGTTTTCACAGCTGTACTTCAATGATTTCCGTCGTTTTTTACAGCGAAAACTTTTGAAATTATCCAGCTTCGCCAAGATTAACGACGTTCATACAAAACAGAGGAAAAAAAAGCAAATTTTCAAAAAAGAAAAAGAAAAAGACATCAACTTACAAGTTTAGCAGATTGAGCTTCACCCTCAGCTTGGACGATTTTTTCCTGTCTCTGCTGTTTCGCTCTTTCAACCAAAAATGATGCACGTTGAGCTTCTTGAGCAGCAACTTGTTTCGCTTCTACAGCTGCAGAGTACTGTGGCGAAAAAGCCAATTCGGTAATTGCCACATCATCCAAAATAATGTTGAAGTCCAGTGCTCTCTCTTCAAAAATTCCGATGATCACTCTCGCCAATCAGAGGAAACATCAAACAACATCAAAAATAAAATGAACAATTACAATATGAAAAAAAAAAAAACAGATGAAGGAGAGAACACTCACCAATCAGACCCTTACGAACAAGTAAAGAAACTTGCTGCCGTTGTGTTATCAGCTGTGAAGCGTTAAATTTCGCTACAACACTTTTGAGTACCTATAAAGAGAAAAAACCGAACATAACAAACTTGTAGGTTATATGATATCCAAAAAAAACGGTACAAACTCAACTTCCTATTAGGCTCACTCAAAATATTACTTCTTATGAGAAAGAAGGGAGGATTTCATTTTGTTCAGATTTTGATGGTTTCATAAAATCTCTGTACCGATCACTATTCCTCCAAATTCTTAAGTATACCGTGATTAAAAGACAAAGTTGGTTTCGCCACCAAATCATTTTTGAATTATATTTTATGATGCTGTAATGTTCAAAGTTTGAGAATTCTGTACCACAAACCTCATTGCAAATTGAAGGTAAAATTCTTTCTTCCCAATTCTGCCCCAGCATGCGATATATTTTTGGTAATGACGACGGGTCGGGACGTGAAAGAACACGCAGACCGATATTCACCATCTGAATTTTCATACATAATTACTAACTGAAGCATATACTTTTCCCTTTTTGAAGACATTAGTAACAACGCAAAATTCTTATAACACGTAGTTCGATAAAAAATATACTCTTTATCGAAAACGATGTTTTCTGAAGCAAACATGCGGTACAAAGAAAAAAAAATTACTAAAACATGAAAAACAACCTGCAAATCCTTGCTTCCAGTTGGTGAACGAATTTGGTTGGGACGAGCACGAATATCATATATAATTGGATACTGGAACCACGGTACTCGGAAGTGCAGTCCTTCTTTATAGACAGCGTCACCAATACCACCAACTCGGTTGAACATTATTGCTCTGTGTCCAGCGTCAACTACAAATTCTCTCTTAAACATCTTTATACATTTTGCATGCATATAATCTAATTAAAAGGAGTTGCTGAAATAAATACAAAATCCTGAAGTCTTTGAAAATAAAACCAACGCACACGAAAAGAATGGACCGGCAAATTGTAGCTAGTGTGGATATTTTCAAAAAGAAAAAATTCACAAGCCTCTTCACTTATTATAGCAAAAATTATGAAGAAACAATTCGAAAAAGTGAAAATACCAGAAAAAAGTGATTCTTTTATGCCAAGGCCAGTAGCCACAGTGCCGGCTATAAGAGCTAGACCCTTCGGACCAACATCCAACAATAATTTTTCGAAGTTTGCCATCTAAATGACGAAAAAACTAAAAAAATTCTTTTAACAAAGGAAAGCTTGAAAAAAAAAAAATGAAAACTTCCAAATTACAATCAATAAACGAAGCAGAAAAAGGTTCTAAACAATGATTCTATTGTTTCATAAATAAGCATATTATGAAAAATTCAACTAGGGAAACATAAATTACAGAAGTCGATGCAAATATATGAAGTGCACATACATTTGCGAAGTTGATTAACAAAAAAAGAATGAAATTTTTATCAATGTACTTCTACATGCTACTTTTTATTCAAAACATTTGCTATTTACAAACATTGAAACAGTTAATATAAAAATCGAACATATCAAAACCCTAATTTTGAACCTAATAAAAATTGGTCCTAAAAAATTGGAAAAAAAAAAAAAAACGGACAAATATATTCACATTTTTAACAGTGATTAAATGTTGGATTTAGAAATCAACTAGACATTAAAATACATCTTATAATAATTTCCAGTAAATGAATTTATTTCGCTGAAAACTTATTAATCCTTCTTTTTATCATACTATTTAATCTAAACGTTATATCCGCTAACTGTTGCATTATTATATATGTTTTCTGGCTTAAATAAACGGCGAATATAACTGCTTGCTTCGATATACGAGATCCATTGATAAACATTTTTTTGCCGACAACTGCGGTTGTTATCTAAACATTTCGCATCATAAATTAGATGGGATTCACAACTCCAGGAATAAGAACATATTATAAAAAGTAAAACTATGGACTGTGACGCGGTGGAATCTTTTCATAATAAGAACATTTGTCAAAAAAGTCATCAGCAACGCCACTAAAATTACATTTACTCCCAAGTAATGAGTCAAAATAGAATGAGAATTAAAATACTGTATCACTCTTCCAGAATGCTGAAATTATGCAAGCTTTCTTGAATTTCCTTTTTCCAAAAAAAAAAAAATCGCATTGTTTAGTGATTCATAACAATTTCAAAAAATTACCAGAAATCTTGTTATTGCCGCTGAACGGATGATCTGTCTGAGTGTGGCAGGATATGAAAATATAAGTTCTGCCCATGTATCACGAGTCCATACGCCTAATCCTCGACGATCAGCAATCTGAAGAATTTCCTCATGAATGATAAGAGATACCAAGCAGAAAGTTCGATTTTAATTTAAAAGTATTTTCTAAGTAATTCTGAAAACAATTTGAAAGTAGTTAGTCCTTGAACCACCGGTTTCTTTAGTAAATACAAAAAAAAGAAAACCTTTTCAGACATGATCAATTTCGACATCAGCCTTGAATATGAAGGATTAGTCTTCAATGCATCCACATGTTCCGGATTACTCAATGGTATAACACGTGCGAAACCTTGACGTACCAAATCTACATTTAAATTTGTCTGCAGAAATCGTTTCTGCAATGGTCTCAAGAGGTAAATTTGTATATAAACATTAACATGCAGGCATAACTTAAAATTAGACTATATCTTTAAGAATAAATCAAAAACAGACCTTCCGCAAAAAAACTTCAGCATCGATACAGTTGTTGTTTTCAGCTGGCTTGATGGCAGAGAAAAATATTTGGCTACTACGTATACGAACATCTTTTGCAAGATAGTCCGAACCAGCGTCCGAAACATCAATACCCGCAAGACGTATATTCAACAATCCTGGCTACACAATTTTCTAAAGTAATTCGGAAATACTTTAACCAGGGAACAGCTCTCTAAATATGTTCTCTATTCTTATGAATGATAAATTACGGGTACTCACGTAACACATTACTTCAAAGCAATCATTCTAATATATCTATAAATTATCTACAAAACACTAAATTTAAGCAATACCTGGATGGATTTTTTTCTGGTAAGAAATTTTGGCATCGTAAATGCTGGTATATGCTCAACTTTCATATAACCATTTGAATGAACAGCACGAACAATCCCTTTCAACTCAATTCCTTTTTTATATATCTCAAGCGGTATCTCTGATACATTTTCATATCTCGCGAACTGAAATCCATAAAATCAAATCAAAATATGATACAATATTTTCCATCAGCCTTAGTATATTAAAGGAAAATACAAAGTTTGTTCGAAATGCCAGTTCTTGGCATCGACAACTTCTTTGACGCAAAATAAAAGCATAAATCACTAAATTTTGCAACATAACAAACAATTTGAATTCCCTATCAAAAATTCTAAAAAGCTATGAAATGATAGTGTAAAAACTAAGATGATTTGATGTCTCACATCAACTTAAAATTATGCTTGTGACAAAAGCCTAAAAAGTACCATCCGTGTTTTTCGAACAAATAATGCAATGCCCAAAATTCCTCCACTGCAAACAACACCCTGCAATGAGAATTAATGTTAAAAGGATGAAATTTTAAACAGTCTTTTAAGTGTAAAGTGCTCCCTTTTCTTTTCTCTTGTCAAGTTGTTGAATATTGCTACTGCAACATAGAATCAAATGAGATAAAATAAATGGGATAAAAATCACACCCTGATTAAGGTAGCATAGTAACGATCGTTAGCTTCTCTGACTGCCACTTCATGCACCATTATCCTTCCAATGCGCTTTTGACCACCCCCAAATCACTGTAATTACTATATTTACTCTTTAAGATTGCTTCCATTCTTCTTTCTTTGATAATTTCAACAATATCAAAACATTTCATTCATTAAATACGACCCCAATTTACACCAATTACTCCCTCAAACTTATTAAACCTAACATTTTACTCAGATTGCCCTGGTTATTTGCCATATATCAAAGTTCGGTACGCTAATGTAGCATAAGGATGACTGGATGAGACGGAATGAAAATGAAAAGGTCTATTGAACGGAGATTGCTTAATATCTGCTGAAGTACTTATAGCTTTGTAAAGATAAGTTGCAAGAAGTATTCTTAAGGTAAACGGTTAGGAAAAGCTTAAATGAAGTAAGCAGAAGGGTATCTAATTAGAATCCTGATCTTGCATAACTTTTTCAATAATTATATTAGTTTAGTAAGTTTTGATTTTGACGACCAACATTTCATCTAGTAAGGCCTATAAAGTATTCATTATTTCTGATTTTATTCCTTTTACTACACCTAAAATTTACTGCAGAAGTTTATCCTTGTTCCTGGTAAATATCAATATCACAAGAAGGATATTTCCCAATGTTTAAACTCAAAAATACATCCTACGATCTCTGTTCTATCAACACATATCTTTGTCATAAAAAAACTTTGCCAATATTTAACCTTTATGTACTTCACTTCTTTTCAGCACTTAAATTTTTTCACTGTACATTAATCATTACAGCACTGGTCTTCCTCGCTTAACTTTAACTGTCAGGATTGCATTTCCAGTGTTAAAAACTATGTAAAGAGTGTGGAAAAGGTTAAATGATAATAATAATAAGAGAATAGGAATGCAAGATTATCACTGCAGATAGTATCAGTGTTCGTATCACATCGATGAACTTTGATTATTGTCGATCGATCGAGCGAGCAATTGCCCGGACAAAACGTTGCAGTCAATAAACGTTGTGGGACAGTTATTATCATGAAACCTTGACATATCCTCCTCTTCTCTTCTCTTCATGGAAGTTCGTATAGTCCTTCCTTCCCTTTCCCTCTTCTCTCCTCTCCCTTTCATTGTCCATCTTCTTATCAGTAATTTTCTTTTCCTTCAGAAATACTAACATCTCTCAAGTAAGACTAATCAATATATTAGAAAAGTTACTTGCACATTATTCTCAGATTTCCATTTACAAAGTTCATTAATTGAAAGATGTGTAAATCAAGAAGTAGCAATTTGCTGTTTCATTCATCTCTATGCTATGTTGAAGTCAGTCTTTCTATCTAATCTTGTCTAACATATCAATCAAAAAATGTTAATTAGTCAAAGTATATGAGTAAAATTTTACTCATAGAGAGGGAACTGTGATTCTGAGATCGCGGTGCGATGTTATCTTTTCTGTTATCGTACGATCTAAGATGTCTTAATGTGAAAATGAATGCTCATTTCATTTTAAATTCAATTAAGTTGTTTTTTAATAAAATACGGGCGAGAAACATTACCTTTTATTCCATTTTTTTCTTTTGTAATTTAGATTTAATTCATTTCTTGAGTCATTTGTTTGGAATATAATTATTGTGTCAGGATGAAAACCTGTATATTCTGCTGTTCTACTATTTGATATTTGCATTACATACAAGTTAACTTAACAAAAACGAAATGAAACGGATTAAATATGATAGCTAACATTCTGCTAATATCTTAGTCTTTTCATTTTTATTCAAAGAAGTCGTTTGCAGAGAAATTAACAAGAAAAGACCTTCTTATCACATCATAAAATGTGTATTATTTCCTTCTTTTTTTTTATTATTAAAAATTTCATTATTATTATTACTTTTTTATTATTAAAAATTTTCGTTATTAAAAATGGAATTTTATATTTAATTACTAATTAGTAGTTCTTAGGAGATTCATATCATCACATATTGCCATCTATTTATTGACGGTACTGGTAATTGCCACAATGCATTAAGAATTTTCTATTAAAGCAATTACATCAGCTCTCTTTTTCTGAATTCTTCTCGTTTTTGTAAAATGACATAGTGCTTATGAACATTTGAATAGATGTTGTATATTTGCAGAAAACAGTTAATGAAGGAAAAATAATTTGCATTGAAACGGTAGTGCTGTGTTGATGAGATGAGTGAGAATAATTGGCCGAATGAACTGCTTAAGACAGGTATTTCGCCTGGAGAACATGAAGAAAACTGCGAGGAGAAGAATTCACAACCAATGTGTTCATCACAGTGTTCCGGATTCACCGATACACACATTACTTTCCGGAAGAAAATCCCTGCTGTTGTGCCTCTCGTGGTTAGTTGTGTAATAATTATTAGTTTTTTTTTTTTTTTTTTAATACAGAATTTAATTTTAGGCTACTGTTGTAGTTTTTATATAATTGTCATTAAGAACAGTGATCAAAAAGAGGAGTAAACTTCTTTAAGAGTTTTATGATCACAGAATGAAATATAGTTGATAAAAAAGGCATTTCTAAGTCTGTACTTTACCCATCAATTAATATAATTTCAAGAAAATAATAAATTTTCTGAGAAATGCACATTTCGCCATAAATAATAGCCAGTAAAATTAAATTGAATTGTCATCTCACAATGTTCTTCTTTTTACATTCCACTCACCCTTTTCTAATGTGTTCTTTGCTCTGTATTACCCCGAGTTAGTTGTTTTCATGTTTTATAATTTGCTTAAATTAAAATTGTAAACGAACGCATAATGAAATGCTCACCTTCGGGAATTATCAAGCAAAAGCAATGAAATTTAGATCATATTTTTAAAAGATTTTTAGTCGTCACCCGTTGATTCACCTCACTCTTTGTTACTTTCACCAATATTGCTTCGTCCGATTCGCTCACTTTCGACGCAAAATAATTTTTGTGGGTTACCGTCAGAATTTGATGAAGAACATCGTTTATCACGACAAAAAATAGCTGCATCCTATCAGTTGCCACGTACATTTGCAGCTTCAAAAGGTGTACTTTTCTGTTTTTCTAGAAATGAGGTGATAAAACTCATTCAAAAGTTAATTTTCGGCTTTTAAAATTAGGTTACACTGAGGATCATCAAGATGTTTTACTGAGATTCAATCCACTGGCCTTAGTATTACAAGAATTTTAGGTGTCACAGTGCTAAGCACAAAAACTGCTGTCGAAAGAGGTAGTGCTGATAATTCAGAGAGCCGTTTTTTAATGCAATTATCACACAAACGAGGAAGACGTTTGTCGGGTAAGAAATCATTGTTTCTGTCGTTATGTTGTTACTTAAAATAGGATTGAAATCAAAGTTATCATTTGCCATTTCGCTTTTTTCGAGTTATTTGTTTTTTTTTTTTTTTTCTACCACAACTGTACAGTTTTATTTACGGACTCGATGATTTTGGGATGATGGAGTTTTATAAAGGTTATCGATAATAATAGCTGAGGTTGAAATATTAGTATTAAAATCAACTAATACCAGATTAGCTTTACCTTATTAAATGTATTTGCATCCAAAATGAGTGTTTTAGAGTTGAGTAATTTTTTTGTTTTTATTTGGTATTGAGATTTTTTTTTAATTAAAATAGGTGGATAAATAAGACTCAAACGTGAGGTCAAAATACTACGAATCGAGTTTTCATGTAATTAATGAATGTAGGTGTTTACGTATGTGTTCCCCACTAAGTCGTGTTTCTTTCTTGAATTTGACTGCAATTTTAAATTAATAAAAATCTCAGCTTCAGATCATTGCTTATTTTGTAAAGGGATTAAAAGAAAACAAATTTCACGACAAGTTTTAGGTATGCTTAGTCAAAAATCAATGGATTTTTCATGTTCAAACCATACTGCAACGTTGGGAAATTTGGTACGAATGCGTAACTCTTCATTAGGCCATTCCGATCCACAAATTTCTGCATCAGTTGTTCAGTCGTCTTCAGTTCGTCTTCGAGTATGCTTTTGAAACTCATATTTGATCTCTTTCTTTATTTTTCTAGGAAAGGTAAAGAATGAGAAGTTTACTTCATATCTGACTTTGAAGAGCTTCATGTTCTTGATATCATTGAATCATTATCATCTTTGCATATTAACCTCCTTCCTGATAAATTTAGATAAATTCAAACAAAATTTTATGCAAAATAAAATTTCTAGCGAAAAGATGGGAATCATCCTTCGTATTCATCAGCCAGTAGCCTTGGATGTCATCGAAGTTTGAATGCTTCAGCATCGCCTATCCTCGCACGAAGATGCCGATCGCCTAATCGTTTTGCAGTATTTCCTTTTCCTCATGGAAAAACAAATCCATCAGTTGTATCGCTTAGGTTTGTGTCATTTGATCTTTTTAGTATTTCTCGGATATTATTGATAAAATTCGTAACTTTAAAACAAAATAAACTAGAGATATAACTACACTTTTTCAGAACGCGTACAACGCCGTTAGCATCAGCTCAGGATAGTAGACGCTGGTCGGTTGCATCTCTTCCATCATCAAGCGGTTACGGGACACCTGGAAGCAACTCAGCATTTTCGGTTATTTGATTTTAAGCATTTCCTTTTCAGCGGTTGTCCATAGGCTTTTAATAGAAGACAGTTTTTAGAAAAATCGTATAGACTGAATACTTCCTGTTTTTTTTTTTTCTCTCATAACGCCATATTAGTAGTGGGCGAATATTAGCATATTTCAGTTTTAGTTGAAAACTCAGTGAGGAGAGATTTATAACAGATTTATATAAAGTATTGTGCAAATTATGTCCTAAGAAATTGCGATTTTCACTAAAAATTCAACGAAAAAATGTGCTCTTCTGGCAAGAAAGTTTGCTTTTTTTTGCGCCCATTGTATTTTCCACGAATGAAATATTCATAATCACTTTGCTCGGGAAAGAAATTATTTTGGTGCATTTTTGCCTTAACAGTTTAGGATTGCAAGTTTTCAAAAGAACAAAATGAGTGTCAATAAAGTGAATCTTTTGTAGAGTGAATATTCATCGCAAGAACAGCTTTGTGACATTCTTACTGATTTGCGACTTAGTAGTGCTGAGGGTTCAAATGAAGATTTTCCAGGACAAAATCGTCCTCGTTCTCGCAGTTTGACGTAAGTTTTATGCGCAATGTTATTTCAGGTTTAAAGAAGTTTCACTCACTTTGTTGTTTTTCGTTGTTTAATCAAAAATTATTTGAGCTACCTGAATATTTTGTATTTTTCTTTTACTACAGTGTGTACAGAATTAAAAACCATCCATTTTTTGCTGGACACATGTGAAAAGCATTATGATGAGAATATATGAAAGCTTAAGATAGATTAAATATTTTGAGCCAGTTAAAGAAAATTCATGTGCTTTTATCACTTAGCAGTTCTGATGCCTTTTGAAACAGCTTTATGAAGATTTACCTGTAAATCTGTTTGAAGTTATAACTGGTTTGATATGTTACAGAAATTCTGTAAATTTCGGTTCTGACTCGACATGTAGCGTTGTTTTCCATAAAACAATTTACAAGGAACGCTTTCCAAAGGTTTGAACGAACTTACAGTTTAATAATGCAATCAATCATAAGATTTGAATGATTCTAACGTAGTTATTTGATCAAATTTCAATCCGACAATTATTTTTCATTTTTTTTTGACATCTTGATTGTAGTCAAATTAAGTAATATCACCAGTTAAGAAGGAATAGTGTTTTGAAAACTTATCATACTTCATTGTTTCTTTTTAGGCGAAGAAGCAGATGGAGGAGCAACTCAGTCAATTAATCGATGAAAATGCCCCGTTATCTGATGTTGCATCTTTGGATACGACATTACGACCTGAAAGTATATACTTAGATGATACCTGGGATGGCTCACCAAATACTTCACTTAGCTCACTGATTAGTCGCCGATCGATGTTGGCTGATAACGTGGAGAGTGATCCCAGAATGCGACTGATCTCAGATGGTGCTACACGGTTTCTTCATCATCAAATTATCGAAGTTGCAAATGGTATTTTATGTTCCTGTTTTAAGCTATTCAATGTTAACATTATCTGAAATTGTCGGAAAAGATTTCACTTGAGAATCGCATAGATATAATTGGCAGTTATATGATTTGGTAGCGAATCAATTTAACTATTAATTTAATTTCATTAAGGCATGAAAAGGTACTGCATGTCTTATGTAAATTTTCATTTTGAAGAGTTGGAGTATGAAAATTGCAGACAGCGAGAATAGCATATTCATATTTGCGAACGAAATCATCGATAATTTTACATTTCAAGTTGAAATGCCTTTCATTATTAGAAAAGCAAGAATTCTTAAATTTTTATAGGGATGCTTAGAGGTGCTGATAAAGTGTATAAAAAGAATTTCAGACTGTCTATCGAAATCGAAAGACGACCTCACCAATGCTTCTTATTTCTCAGAAATATCGCAAAGACTCGAAGCTGTTATCGCTGAAGCACACGAAAAAACTTCACCTGAAAGCTTTGCTTTTTTATCTAAAATGGTGAAGCATGTACTGATGATAATTTCTCGTCCGGCTCGTATTTTGGAATGTTTGGTTGGTTTAAAGCTTAATCTAAGCAGCTTTATTGAAAAAAGGGTTAGCAGAAATTTGAAGAATGCATTTCTGGGATCTTCAAGCAATATAGGAAAACAGCATTTATTGCTTTCTCATAGTATTTCGCCTAAAACGGAATTTTTCTTGTGATTAAAGGAGTTCGATCCAGATCAATTCTACCACTTATTACAAGAAACTGAAGGGGCGGTCCGCGAACAACTCGGTGCAGGTGACGCTAGAGTTCCAGATTTACCGCAGTACATCATAAGCAAACTTGGTTTGAATAAAAATTTGATGTCCGAATCGACAGTTGATATTTTAAAGGTATAGTTGCGCCATGTATATGCTTACTTTTGAAAGTAATTATGACTTTTGGAGTAACAGAAACTGATTTAGAGATAAGAAGTACATGTACTTATTTTTATATAACTAATTCATAATTAGTTTCAAAAGACCATATATGATTTTTTTGTAAGTATGATTAACTGATAAATATCATTGGTAAATAATTCATAAAATTGTGCTTGTCAGTGAATGAGTGTTTTTGATTAAACGAATGCATTTTCGCATGCAGATTACATATTCCTTCTATTATGAAACAAAAAAAATGCTTTTAGGGAGAGCCAACTTCACTGTTCGATGATGAAACTCGTTCGGGTGTTGAGTGTCAACGCGATTTACATGAAAGACGCCCACCATCCGAAGATGACTATGAAACAGTCAGAGTGAGTAGAAATAATGTTCTTGAATTTCTGTGTTTGATTATATAGGAAGGGATTAAAAGTGATTTTATTAGTGATGAAGGAAGATAATTTGGGATCACAGTTAATCATGTATTTTTGAAATTGTTCCATATTTACGAATGATTTTGTTCTAGGATTTGAGGAATCGGTATGTATAGCTAGCTAGTAAGACATTCATAAATCAAACTTTTCTATTATAAAAGAAAGTTTTTGTTATGATAGAGAATTTTTCACATTTCGCATTGATACAAGGATATTTAATTTCAATGATTAGTAATTTCGAGGATCAAAATTTGAATCATTAAGTTAATAAGTAATGGAGCGTATGGCGCCGTTTATTTGGTGCGGCATAAAGAAACACGGCAACGATTTGCACTTAAGCGGATGAAGAAACAGACTTTATTAATGCGTAATCAAATAAATCAGGTAATTTGCTTGCAACATTCACTTATTTCGTTTATTCATTAATTTGGCAGAAAAAATTTATTAGATTGGAAAAGTCGAAATATTTTGTGTTAATAACAATTTTATTTTTTGCTTTAGGTATATGCTGAAAGAGATATACTAACGTTTACGGATAATCCATTTGTTGTGTCATTTTACGGTTCATTCGAAACGCGTCATCATTTATGTATGTTAATGGAATATGTAGAAGGTGGAGACTGTGCAGCTTTACTGAAAAAAGCTGGAACATTACCACTTGATGCAGCACGACTATATATTGCAGAAACTGTTCTTGCTATTGATTATCTTCATTCTTATGGTATCGTACACCGTGATTTAAAGCCCGATAAGTAAATCTTTTATAATATTTTCCTTTTTTTTTTTTTGTTAAATAAATTGTTTTGAAATGAAATAGAAAATTTTCAAGAAAAATCTGAGTCTCAAAAGTCGGTGGTAGATTTGGAGACAACCAGGAGTATTATTTAGATAGAAAGTAAATTTTGTTCCATAAAAGATTCAAAAAAAAAAAAAAAGGTTGAAGGCTGAACGTCGTAGCTAAAGGTGCTTTAAAAGTGACAAAGATGACTTCTCTAGAATACTGCTAATTTTTTCTAAAATATAAACCAGAGCGAGGAGTTTTTCTAAGTTATCAGTGATCATTTTAATAATTAGCAGTTTCATTATCTTTTGGTCGAATACAGCTTCATAATTTTTCCATTTATTTACAGCCTACTGATAACGGCAATAGGTCATATAAAGTTAACTGACTTTGGACTTTCAAAGATTGGTCTAATGAATCGTGCAACACTATTATGCGAAAATTACATGGATATTGCGGATACACAACAATTTACAGATAAACAACTCTGTGGTACTCCTGAATATATCGCGCCAGAAGTAATTTTAAGACAGGGATATGGTAAGCTCATTTTTTTTCTTATATCTTTTTTTCCATAATGAGCTGTTCATTACCTCAGTATGAAAAAGCTTTTGTGAGTGGAAGCATTCATTATTTTCTATAAAATTCTGTATGTTATTTTGGAATGTACTAAACATTTAATACTTTGTATTTTGCTTTTAAGGTAAACCAGTAGATTGGTGGGCACTTGGTGTTATTTTGTATGAATTTCTTATTGGAATTGTTCCATTTATGGCTGATACACCAGAACATTTGTTTGCAAAAATTGTTAACGGTTGGTTTTTATTGCTTAATATTAATACAAAAAACTTCTTAGTATAAAGTTATCAGCTTAACATTTTTCGATTTCATTTTAAAAAATTTTTTTGAAGAGGAAGCGGAATTTCCTGAAGAGGAAGAAGCATTGCCCATAGAAGCGGAATCTTTGATTAAGCGCTTATTGGAGAAGGATCCAGTAGAACGACTTGGATCGGCTGGTGGTGCCCAACAGGTTTGAGTTTGTATTTTAGTTTTCATGCAGAATTTCAGGTTATTTATTAGTCGAATTAATGAAAACATGTTTTTTCAATTATTTTATTTTTGTCTGAAAAATTGCAGCTGATGAATGACCCTTTTTTTGCTGGTTTAAATTTCAAGTCTTTGCTTCGTCAAAAAGCAGAATTTGTACCCCAATTGGAAGGAGAAGAAGATACGTCTTATTTCGATGCTAGAACAGATCGGTTTGTCATTTTTATTTTTTAATCTTTTTCTTTTATCAAGAAAGTCGTTAAGAAATATTTGCCTGCTAACTTGAGAAATACGTATACATCCATAGGTTATCTTACTGAAGTAGATAAGATTTTTGCATTAAATTTCATTCCTTCATAACTGCTAGTACTCTTCAATCATTTGCTAAACGCTGTGTGTTGGAGTAACGATCATATGGAGAAAAGTTAACTATATATATAAAGATGTTCTTATTTATAATCTATACATCAAGATAGTGTTAGTTCGAATCCTTGTCTGAGATTGATATAAATTTTTCTAAAAATGCCTGGGATATTCCAGTATTTCCCTCATTGGTTCATTCATGAGTTACACACACACACTAATTCTAGGCTTTATTATTCATTTTTAATTCTTTTTCCAGCTACAATCATGATGTTGATAGTGGTGACGAAGATAATGCTCCAATGTTTGGTTCTTTTGATACTGCATCACCTCGTCATTCAGTAATTAGCACTGAATCAGTTAATGTGGCTCAGGTATTTCTTTCTTTCGCCGTACTTTTTAACTATGATTGTTTTGATATTGCATCACCTCTGTATTCAGTAATTAGTATTCAATCAATTAATGTCACTAAGGTATTTCTTTTTTTCGTTGTACTTTCTAACTGATTTTAGAAACTTCATTTATTCAGGCCACAAGTTTTGATAGTATCAAGAGTACCCGATCGGATTCGAGTTCAGTTTCTCGTCAGTTAAGCAGTGATTTTTATGAAAACAAAATGGATGCTAAATATGATTATCCTTTACCAGCGGTTAGTTCACTTTCTATTCTTTTTTTTTAATGCTATTTTTTGAAATAGAACTCAAGTTATTCATCTCCAAAATGACCAGTTTTATTGATGAAAACTTCATCTTGTATATTTCATAAAACTACTAAAAACAAATGATTGTATCGCTTAATTTGCCTTCGTGCAATTTTTTACGGTGTTGCAACTGATCTTTTTACTTTCAGGCAGTGCTACTCAGAAGGTGCTTTTCATCTCAGCTTCAAAATAATTTGTCTACATCAAGCAGTGAAGCAAATGAAACAGGCTATCTCAATACAGGCTTATCTACAGATTCTTCAGTTGATGCATTTGGTTTTCCTGAATATTCGAGACCGGTGCCAATTGCAGAAGGTTATCAGAATCAGAAGGGCAATACAGCAGCATCTTTGCCGCGGTAAACATGCTAACAATGGGGATTTTTTGTTTAAGTTGTTTAGAGATTTTAGCATACGAAAACTCACTCCACTGTGGATAGCTAATTTTGCTTCTGCACTAGACTGAAAATTTTTATTTCAGTTTTTCGGTAACCTGTGAACCCGATACAATTCGAACCAGCTCTTGTGATAAAAAAGAACTGTCGCCTGTAACTGAATTACGACCAACTTCTAATCTAACTATTTTTGATTCTGTAAGTTTGTGGTCAAACATGAATTATTTTATTATCTTGCTAACGGAATCTTTCATTTATTTTCATTCCAATAGTGCACTTATTTGCTTTGTAGGTAGATCTTACTTAAAGTGCTGATGAATTGAATTTAAGAAATGACTTGTGCTAATTCAAAACAATTATAGTTTGTATATATGTTAGTTTTTTCTACATTCAATACTTTTCAGAATCGAGATGATGGAGTGATTAGTGAACAGGATCGTAGTCTGCAACTTGAAATTCCAAAGCAGTCTTCGCCCTTGCTTGCTCAACATTCGCCTGCTGGTTCAGCTTCTAGCGCATCATCATTTGATGGCATTTCCTCCAATCCATTAGCAACTCCTGTTGTGGAACAGAATTTCCAATTGAAAGCGCCAATAATCATCAAGTATGAACGTTAAAATTTTTATTTCATAATATGGCTATGCTTTTTTGGAAAAACTTTATTAAAGCTTCTAATCTTTGTTACGAATGATGAAGTGATTTTATTGCTCAGCAAATACAAATATAATTCTTTATTATCTTTGTAATGAATTCAATTTAAAATATGAAATCTTAAATGCACATTTAATTTTGCTATGTTTCAGGAAAGGACCGAAAGGTTTTGGATTTACAATTCGCTCAGTACGTGTCTATTTGGGTGAACAGTCGGACTACTACACTATTGAACATTTGGTTACAAAAGTGGAAGAAGGCTCTCCGGCTTATAAGTCTGGTATTCGGCCAAATGACCTAATAACCCATGTTCATTCTCAACCTGTCTCTAATCTTACACATCCACAATTGCTGCATCATCTGCTTACATATGGAAGTGAACTTTCTCTGAAGGTTAGCCATTTTTTATTTATTTAATTATACATAAGTGTGTGGGGTAGATTCAATTATTTTTCAGTTCGTAGTGTATACGAATGTAGAAACTATGAGAGGCAGTATTATGCATTATATATATATATAAATTTATGAGAACATGAAAGCAAATGAAGGGTACGGAGTTAATCAAATTAGCGAGAATTTCGAAAATAAAGGAAAATATATTTTATCATACTTATGTTATTAATCTGGTATCGAAGTATTTTATCTTCAAACTTCTCTTTATTTAGAATTTTTTTTTGCCGTTTACTTCTTTTTCATGCACCTATAAATTTAATGTTTAATTCCCTTTTATATCTTTTTTTACTTCATATCTTTTATATAACTTAATTGCTTTACTCATTTCAGCTCACTTTGTAAGGAATTTTTTGTTTCAAAGTTTTAAATAAACGAATTTCTCCAATTTCCTAAAGACTACATGGTTACAGACAACGCCTCTCTCATCAACCTCGATTCGTGAAGGTGCTCCACGTCGTACAATTGGGAAATTGGCTAAAAAGAAACTGAGAAAACCACAGCATCGTGTCCAGTTGGAGAAGAAGACTCGAAAATCGTCACTTCTTCGTCGGTTAAGCGGTAAAAGAGTCAGCAATGACATTATTCCAGGAAGTTCATCTCAGAAACAGACGTTCATGCCTCGATCTGCTTCTAGTCAGGATGGAATACAGCTAGGGTTTGCTATCAAATTATTTGGAAAAATCAGGAACTTTCTGCACGATAGATCTCTGTTTAAATTATCGAATGGTCTTGTTCAACTCTTATGGACGTAATAATTTGACAATTCTACTTTTGCAGCAGCACAACTGCTTCGTCTTCTGCATTGGCAGTTATACCAATGATGAATTCAAACGGTCCTGTGATTAAACGGTTTTCGGATGCTAATTTACCTGTTCAGAAAGAAGAGAAACTAATTTCTGCATCACCACTTGCATTGAAATGCGCAAATCGGCCATCTACATTGCAGGTACTGTTATTGACTAAAGAATTCAGCATATTCCTCGTGAAAAATAAATGTATAATGCTGCGAATTTGAATAGGTTCGCAAGTTGGAAATCATGATTACTTAGTCATGATTTTTTTTTTTTTTTTTTTAGGGCTTAAAACATAAAATGACCGGAATGGCACAGCATTTAACGACATGCAAGCAGATATCTACACCGGCTGCAGTCAGCCCATTAGCAAGAGACGAAATTGCTTTCCTTTCGAGGTTATTACTTCAATTTAAAAATGCAAGATGGTTCGATTTTAAGATGAAAATGAAAAGGATTGTGTTTTTTACAAGTTTTGAATGAATTCAGAATAGATATGGTGTGCAATCGTCTTAATTATCGTGAGGGAAAATCTCGAGTTTTTAACTTGCACTGTTTTACTAGTTATTTTATTAGTTATTTTTTATTTAAGACATACCGTTATAGCTTTTGAAATTCTAAATCGTGGTGTCAGTTAGACTGTTTCCAAAATGAAAAGTGGAATAATTTCAAACAGCGCTGCTAAGCGTTATATAGTTAGAGTTGTTATAAGAACTATGTTAAGCAGTTTATGTTTTTTATTGCTTTGGAAAGATTTGGTGTTATGTTATAATGATAATCAGGTTTCGAAATAAAGGAGCTATTTGACATTGTTATTTCAGATCGCCTAGTGTCAAGGAATATATCCTTCATAAAACTTCAAAATAGAGCAAAGTTCGAAAATTGTTGTAGACCTTTCATACGCGAAATAATATTATTTGAATTTTTAGATCCTGTATTTTCAAATTCATTCATTCTCTCTACGATTCGTGACACTATTGTATTTTTCTTTTACATAATCATTGCTGTCTTAAATTTTGATTATTTGTCTTTCAAAAGAAATATGCATATATCTTTTGTATATTTCACTCCTTCCATTGAGTAACACAGCATTGTCGATTCACGAATTGCTAATTATATATAAAGTGTACTAAAACCAAAATTGGTCTCATGTAGATTCTCACTAATGATGTTCTCAAATAGTAAATTACTAATACATTTTTTATTTCATTTAAGCATAAATATATGTGTAATTGTCCTGCATCTTTCATTTTTGCTTTGTGTGATTATGTATATATTTATTATGTTTTCTAGTTAATAGCAATATAATGAAAATTAGAAAGTAGCTTAGACGTCCGAATTCATTCGCATATATTCCTAACTTTTGAAGTTGAATTGTGTTAAATTATTATATCTGCTGCTGGGTAAGTACATCTAGTCCAAAAATTTGCACCTCAGCTTCGTGAAATTTTGCAAAAATTTCATATTTTATTTGCTTCACTAATTTCGTGGTGTCAAGCTATTCACCATTGTATCAAGTGAACATTTTCAAAATTTGCAAAGGAAATATATTTTGTATTCAGCTTGGATAAAAATATTTGTAAAAAACCTTTGTGTTAGCTGGTGAGAATCCCATTTTAAGTCAACAAATTTCTGTCGAGAAGAAACGCAATAATATGTGCAGTACATATATCAAAGGATAAAAGTAATTAGTGGACACTTCAGTCGTTCAGTTTGTTATTCTGAACACCCGGACGTGTATGTGTGGTTACACGTACGTGAAGATCTTCGAGAGTGGTGGAGACGTTCTCCAACGTCAATAAGCAGTGTAATGGAAAACATATGCATGTCAAGTAGCACTAGCAATGGTGCTGCAGCAGTTGGCAGTTTGGTTTTAAGGTTAGGAGTGTGTTGAGGAGTAATTCATTGACCTGTTTCGGAAGAAGCTTTCAGGAAAACAGGACCGGAAAATGGGAAAGAAAGAGAATAAGGGAGGAACAAATGAGGTTAAAGAGGAATCCATTAAAGTTTTAATTATCGCAGATACATTCGATGCTCGGTTTCTTCCTGTCACTTCCGATTCTTCAATTGTAAGTTATTTGCATCTTTTTATACTACTAACTTATTGCTTTCCACTTCCATTTTTATATATTTTTTTTTCTCTCTGTAGTATATTTGTTCAAGGTATCTAAGTTGAAACTTTCATACCTTGAGACATAATTTTATAGTTGATATTAATAAATTATTTATTAAAAGTAAAGAAGCTGTAGTATTATTGTAATGTAAGAAAGACTAAATGTTGCAAGTATATGAGAGCCCTGTCATGATGTAATTATTCAATTTATTTTTTATTTTGCATTCATTAGATGCTACAGTGTTCATGTATTTATAGCACTGATAGTACTGTTAGTGGTTCTCATGAAAATTTTGTTTCTAATTATGATATAAATTGAAAATTGAATTGATTTAGAAAGTTTTGCTGTTTATTAAAGATATGCACCTAACGATTTTCTTTTCTTGTCTTTCAATAAAATATGATTATAAGACTGATTTAGTAGAATAGAAAGTCATGAATACAATTGAGAGTTGAGAATAAATATTTTCAGAGTTGTTTAAAGGTAGCGAATATCGAAGTTTTACATTATATGCTGGAATGGATAAGTCGAACTGAACTTCGAGATGTAGTGATTGCTTTGTCAACCCATTCCGAACAATCTCTTCAGCATATTATAGAGTATAACATTACTATTCAACACATTTAGGCTCTAATTCCTTCTGTCAAATTCTAGATACCGAAGTACGCTATATTTCTAGCTTAATTTATTAAGTAGATTTATTTCATATGCTTTTAATCTATGTTGTTAAACCTTAGGATGACCCCACTGACTTTTGTTTGACCGTTTGCATACAGGACAAAATCAACTTTTCTTTGATTCTTTCATTTGTTTGAATAATTAGCTCCTTGTATTATAACCTTGTAACGATGGACTTTTATATTTCACTGTCTGTAGTATTTTCAGTTATTCTCTAATTTTTTTTTTTTTTTTTTACTTAGAGAAATCAGCCTTTGCGCTTGTTCACTTAATAATCTCATACTTAATAATTTCCTAATTCGTTTTCTATATTTTTTAGTTATTGGAGAGTGCTATTCGATTCCTTTAATGTTGTGTTATGTCAGAACTGTATGAGTATTGGTGATACTCTTCGTGAAGTTCATAGTCGATCTGTCATAACCTCAGATTTTTTGTTACTTACAACTCCGATGATTATTGCCGCAACTGATCTCAGTATTCAGCTCAGTTATTTCAAGTAAATCATATACGTAATGTTTTAGAGCTCAGATTAGCTAGTTAGGATTGTATATTGTCAAACATAACTTTTTAATGCTTTTTGGAAGTTTACTTAATATGTGCAGTGTCTTAACTTTTGAGAAAATTCAGGGAGATAAGGAGGGATAAGAATAATGTCATGATGATCGTTTATGGTGAGTGGAAAAATGAGTGTCCTGTTATTGCTTATGAAAAGGAAAGCAGAAGACTTATATTCTATCACCAAAAAGATGATACTTCAAAACTTGATATAGACAAGGTATGTTGTGTTGGAACAAATCAACATGAATAGGATTGATAAAAAATGTCTTAGCTTATGTTATTTTTTCATAGTCTAGATTCCTCACTTCTGTTGTTTTTGTGCACTGTATTTTTACTACTTGTTAAACAACTGGGATATTCATCAGTAAATATTAAATTCCTGATAAAATTAAAAGTAGTGATGAAAATGAATATAAATTAAATTTATTTAAAAATGAATTTAACAGTTAAAATTTGTGTTTGCATCCTGTCATTTTGAAAACTGTTTCATCTACTTAACTTTTTTCAGAATGTATTTACAGCAGACTCTATTGTTTGCAATAATCTTCGAGACACTGGCATGACATTTTGTTCAATAAATGTGTTATCACAGTTTAGTGACAACTTCGATTTTCAATATAAAGAAGATATAATTAGAGAAATTTTAGTTAACGAAGACATTCTTGGTCAGAAAATTTGTATTTCTGTTCTCCCAAAAGAAGTTCCAGCATTTTGTGCTCAGTATGTTTGTTTTCTCTTTTTTTTTTTCTTTTTTGAAATTATGGTACAAAACTTTACTGTTATGTTAACATATGTATGCAAACATGTTTATGCACATTTCATGTTAAAGAAAACTGAAACAATTTTAATGACATTAAGGAGCAAATGTCATGAAACCTTGAGCTTTTTAGTGCTTCGCAAAACTTTTTCGGTTATTTCTCCAACAATGAATTATTAAATTTGGAATATTTAACAATGTTATTAGTTATAGTTTTTGATAGATTTTGTCTCGAAAAGGAAAAAGTGTGAAAAATCTACAGTTTGTTGCTCATGGCTCCATTCATCTTTTCTTCCATTTTCTCAAGTTTTGTTTTCAGTGATTATGCAGATCTCTTACTTATGAACAGAATGATTTTACAACGCTTCTTCTATCCTCTTGTACCTGATAATATTTCTTATTCAACTTACATTTGTCGGCGAAATAATATTTATACATTATCAGACAGTTTGCAGCAAAATTATGGGACTACAAGGTGTGCCAGCTTTTTTCAATGATTTTCAAGCAAAATCGATGTTTCCGCAAACAGATTTTTTACATTTTGGTGATAATCAAGTTAATTAAAGCCACAATTTTTAATCTGATTGTTTTAAAGGAATTTGCCACTGATTTTTGATGGAGCAAATGTTTTGTTGGGAAAAAATTGTTCGATTGGTTTGAATGTAGTGTTAAAAAATGTTTCACTTGGTTCTGGAACATCTATTGGTACTTGTTTATTTCTTCAATATTTGTTTGTTATTTTACATGGTGATCAGAGTGGTGCAAAGTAATACTAAGGATTGTTGATATGCACGATTTGATTACAATATATTAGAATAGTTTCATGACACTGTTACATTCTCAGATGTTCTAACTTAAATCTGTACGAGATTTTTTTGAGGTGACGGCTGTGAAATTGTCAACTGTATAATCGGTCAAAATGTATCACTGGGTCCAAATTCCCGCTTATCAGAATGCTATATTGCAGACGATGTTGTAATTGGCAGCAATGTTATAATTCTTCCAAAATGTGTTTTATCGTCTAAGGTTTTTATCATCTTTTTTTTTTTTTCAAAATTCAAAGTTATTTTGTTGAATCATAAAATGTTCGTTGGACCAGTGTAACGTTTTTTCATAATTTTATTTATAGTAAATCCCTTGAAACAAGTTAATACATTTCATTAGGTTCATTTTCAGGTGAAAATTCCAGATGATAGAAAGTTACCATCAGGAAGCGTTATCAGTACAGAATGTTATGAAGACGACGATGAACAGTTCGAATGCATTCAATCGGAATGTTGGTTTGATAGTCTTTGTTTGCTTTGACAGTTTCAGTCAAAAGAATCAGTATAACAGGTTTATAAAATTTTTAAGATGGATTTGAATGGAGAATGGAAAATGAAAGTGGTTTTTGGCATGCTAGTTGTTCAAATCTTCGACTACATGAGGCATCAGTAACGTCCAAAGGTATTCAGAAACTTCTTTTCTTACTTTTTCACTACAGCACTCAATTCTTAATGCGATTTTATTACACTGATGTGATGTTTTGATTTAAAGTTCCAGATATGAATGATTTAAAAGAGACAGAGCAAGTTATTTGCGAGAAAGAAATAGACTGTGTTGATCGATTCTACGAAGAAGTATGTCCTGCATTCATTCACTTTTATATTGGTTTACTGTGAACTCATCTTTCTATGGATTTATATATATATATAATATAAAAGAAATTTGACTAGATAATCTAGAGTTTGCAGGTTAAAGAAAGTATGGAGAGGATAGCAGAACAAAAAGAATGCAATGACCAGCTGATAAAGAATCTGATTTTAGAAATCAACAGTTCAAAATTAGCTTACAATATAACAATGGAAGACGTTGCGCGCAACGTGTTCTTATCTTTCCTATCACTGTCCAATACTTTTTGTGAGCTACAGAAGGTAAGCTTGTAGATTGGTCTTTTTGAAGACTATGAGCTCATCTTCATATGGGTTAATCTTTAGCAAAATTTTTTTTGTCATCTTGAGTTAATCTTTAAGCAAACATCACTTAACTAAAACTAAAAAAAAAAAGTTTCTTTGTAGCTTGCAAAAAATTGGCACTTATTATTCATCAACTACTACAAACCAATAAAAAGTCAGATTCAGGCACTTGTTGCAATGGAGGTAACTTTTTTTGTATGCTTTGTAAGCACAAGTGAAGTCTTTTCTGCAAATTTATACAATTGTAAGTATGATTTCGAAAGTTTTCAATTTGCTAAATCAAGTTTTCTAAACAATATCACTAGCAGTATGAATTTGTATCTATATTTTTACAGGAACATCTTGCATCCAATCCCAGTTTTAAAGTATTCTCTGCGAAAGTGATACACTTTTTCTATGAACAGGATATTTTTGAAGAAGATGCAATTCTTGAATGGTATGATACTGTGCATGAGAGTGCCTCTCTTAAAACTCTAGCTCGTCCAATCATCGACTGGTTGCGACAAGCAACTGAAGAATCTGATAATTAGTTCTGATAATTAGTTTCATATCATGAGCAGTCACTTTTTCAGGAAGTATTTGACCACTTGGCCTGAGTTTTAATCTTTTATTTAAACATCTTCAGCTGAGTAGCAGAAATTTCTCGTTTATTTGTTTAGCAGGGAATTTTCACTACTTCATTCTCTTGTTTTCATCAGCCGGTGGTTATTAAGAAACAGAAAAATGGTGAAAAAATTCTTTAGGTCATCACTGTTGTCATATAATTTATTGTTTTCATTCTGTACATTTTATCATTGGCTGTTTTGTAGTGTTATGTTTAGATGTCGTTTATATTTTAATTTTTTAATGGAGGAATAAAGATATATTCGCTGTCGAATGTGTGACATCCATTAAATAGTATTTTCTTTCTTATATTTGTTATTTTGTGCTTTAAATATACACACCAGTATGCAATATCAAGTATTTGAAAGAATTTTGAATTCTGTCATACGTCTCACTGTTGTGTCGTTGATGTATTACTGTGATAATGAAAATTTAACAGTGGTAACAAAAATATTGAATTTTTGTTCTCAGGATTATTATGACTATAATTTAATGTATTTAAGAGTGTCGATACGGAAGGGATTTGTGGAATGTTAATTGGTTGACAGATTCGTTTCCTTACCTTAATTTTTAAAATTTGTAAGATGTATATGGGATCTTTAATAAAGTTGTTTATTACCATTTGAGAATGTTAAATACTTTAATACTTTGCACAAAATAGATAAGGAACTCACCTGATAAATGGTTCTTGAAGGTACAGTATGGTTTCGAATATGATATTCATAAGATACTAAATAATGATTTGTATATTTGGATTGTCAAGATTGCCTGGACCGATAAGTCAGCGTTGTTGCGGTACTATCACTGTTTAGAAATTCCATATTAATTTTTGTAGATTTTACTATGGCTGGTAATTTAAACCTTTACGATTTTAATGGCTCGATTAGACGGAATAAATTGCAAGAAGCGATTTTTTCTGATTTGGTTAGTTCTTTTTAATGGCATATTTTCTTGAATCTTCCAAACAATGTAATCATCTATTTATTTCATTTCTTTCAGGCTAAAAAAGAGGATTTCATGAGAAAAATTAATGAAGAACGTATTGAAAGACAGGAACGTTCCAGGTAATGCATTTCAATATTAGATACATTGCTCTTTGCGCTTCCTGTTGTCGTTTTAGCTTCACACCTCCTATGCATTTGTTTCTTCGAAATGATTTTATGGTTGCGATATTTACAATTGTCATATAAACAAGTTTGAAAAAGGGAGAGTATGACTTATATTTGATTATGTAATTCTCTGTATTAGTTTAGTACTTACCAAATCTTTACTTTTTAACTTTAGGTTTTAGAAAAACAGAACAAATCGAAATTTTTTTTTTTTTTTTTTTTTTTTTTTTTTTTTTTTTTTTTACAAGTTATGGTTTATCCAATACATCCTGATCACATTTATGTGTTTCACTTTTATTTATTTATTTTTATTTTATTTATATATTTTTATTTCTTCCTTCAGGCGAAAAATAGCAGCTGTCAAAATACAATCTGCATATCGGGGATATCGTATTAGGAAGCAATTTCATGTCTTTTTGCGAAATCTTTTCGATAAAGCAGGTCCAGTACAAAGCATTACACTATTGGAAACGCAAATTTGTCGTTTGGCATTCTTCTTCCGATATGATGTTGACCGTGAAAGAACTGTAAGTTCCATAATTTTGGCGATATTCGGGTTTAACGCATCTTTTAGTTGTTGGTATTTCTTTTTACCATTAATGCATTTTATAGCTGTTAATATTTTTTAAAATAGAAAATCTTTTCCATAGTTTCATTAAAGTTTTCTCACATCTTTTTAATTATGATTTTGTTTGCAACAATCCTAGATAAAGTTCAGAGTTGCTTTTTGTGAGCCATAACTTTTAGTTAACATTGTGCAGTGAAGCAGTTATACTAGCACAAGTTGTAAAAGCGAACAATTTATTGGATCGAAGGAGACGACGGCAACTTTTACGGTGTGCACTTGTGCTTCTGCAACACACCGATCGAACCAAATCGTGCACCTCTGCATTGCGGTTTTTTGAAGTTTATATAAAGGAAGAAGATTGCTTAATTTTGTTGAATTATGGCTTCTACTCATCCATAATGAATTTGTTCTCGAATTGTCATCAGCTTTCTTCTCGTAAATCTTCAGCATCTTGACTTAGTCATTATTGTGATAGGCTAAAGTAATTGCTAATTTAGAAAATTAGTTAGATTTGAAACGGAAAAAGTATTTCTGGTTAGTTATATCTATTTTTATGTTTTACTGTTTTACAGAACTAACAGTGCAGTGTATTGTTTTGTAATAAGGCCGACTATACGTCAAATATTTGTATGGGCTTAACATATATTTACATTTGTAATCGAGGTATTTATCTCTTTTTTTTAAATTGTGATATTTTTCAGCTTTGTATATTGAGGAGAAACTTCCGCAGTACTCGGAATCACTTTTGCAAATATTGGTTTTACCTATAGATCGTCTTTCCAAGAAGTAGGCTTTTCGAGTACTTTAATGTTATTTTTTTTATTTGGAACTAGTAAGGTAGTGAGCATAGAGAGTGTTACTTTTCTAGTTTTATAGATTCTGTCTACCAGAATCATAACTGAATTTCAAGATCATGTGTTTTCAATGAAGCAGAAATTATTCTGTTATAGAATTATTGTGTATTGAATAATTTGAATAGTCATCTGACTAATTCAATTTTTTTGTCATGGGAAGTTCCATTGTTTTTTATTGCAGATCAAAAGCTATATATGAATTGTTTGACACGATCTGCAAACCAAGATTTGAAGCTATTACTGTTTGTTGCTTAGCACCCTTTCTAGCTCGACTTTGTAAAGCAGGAACTTGGAAACTCGATGATATTATGGATGCTTTATCAAGTAGTGATTATCGCTTATCACAAGATGTTTCTGCGCTTTTAATTTCATATATTGTGGCCGTTATTACTTCGGCATTTTCATTAGGTTTAGTTTTTTTCTTCATTCATTTGTGCTTTAATTTTGGTAGCCTTAATTCTTGCTATGTCAGTTGTAGGCTAATAGTTATCGCTATTTTTAATTGATGGAAATAATTAAATTTCTACAAAATATATTCTTATATAGTAAAAATATCCATTACAATTAACAAATATATAAATTATGAAATATTTTCAAATGTGTTCCCCATAATATTAGCAATTTAAAATGTCTCCTCTTCCCTTTCTTCCAAAACTTTTTTTTGTACTGTGTCCTAGTGAAAAAATGGACAGTATAATGATTCCAAAGAGATTTCGAATAATGCTTCAACTTTTACCTGTATGTATCATCATGTGTACTTATTGATAATCGAATTTTTTCTGACATATATAATCGCATCCGATATCTTAAATTTTATTTTCCAGAAGCTTTTAGCAAAAAAAACACCTTGTTTTGGTCTCATTACTTTATTACAGAAAAATTAAGCGATTTGGAAAAAACCAAATTGATTGCTGTGTACGCATCGCTCACACAAAATTTTACGCCACCACCGGAAGCAGTATTAACAGAACGAACTAATAGTGATGATTCAGATACGGAAGACGAATCAAACGATACTATTATGGCTGCGATATCTGATGTTGAGCCAGAAATTCTGGAAAGTATTTTAATTTATTTGAAAATATTTCATTTTTATGAGAAATTGAGGACTTTTTTGCAATGTAAAAAGATATAAACGTATTTTGCTTACTTCATTTTCTGATGATTAGATGAGAACTGTAGTGTTTTCAGACCGCACAATTTTACTTGAAAACTCTAATCTCCAGTCTGAAATTTCTTCTGTCAAATGAATCATTCATAAATGCGTTGTTGGAAGATCGTCAAGGAATTACTTCGCTTTGCACATTAACTTATTTCATACGCACCCATTCGTCTGCAAATTATATTTCTCTGACGAACTTATTTTCTTCATTTCGGCAGCTAATTCCAAGTTTATGGAAGCTAATATTGTCCCTTAACACGAATACGATGTTTGGAGTTACACAACCACTAATAAGAATGCTGGAAAAGGTTAGTAGGACTTATCATTTTTAAACATTTTTTAGTTAAATTTCGTATTCATATCATAAAGAAATGTTAAATGTAACGTTTTATCCTGTATATATTGAAAAGCACTTTTTTCTGAATTTTGAGATATGTGTTATTTCTGTTGTTACTTTGTTTTTAATTTAATCAGTAGGAAAAGTTTTTCCTTTCATGACTATGAAATATAATCTCAGATGACTAATTTTCCTAGCAGATTAAACTGTAGTGTATAGCGTTTTTTCTTTCAGGGTGAAAATATATCGAATTCTGATGAACAATCTTTAATACCGGCTTTATCAATATTTATAACATTGATGATGAATGCATTGAAAATAGTTGACGATGACGATTTCCAAAATGGTGGTCTTGGAGATACTGTTTTTCCTCTTACACTAAACCAAGTGGCTGATATAGTCGTTCATTGTCGGTTAGTGTAGGATATAAATCATTTCTGGATTTTTTTAAACTTTTTTTGTGCACGAATTGAAGAAATTTAAATTGAGGTAGTACAACACTAAAATTGCTTATAATGCAAAAACTGCAATAGCAAAGTTAACTTTGCTTATTTCATTATAATTTAGTGCTACTTCCTACGATTAATACAAATTAATTTTGAAGCAATGTTTTTTATTATAAGTGTTTTATCGCTTATTTAAACCCGTGTTTTCTTTTTTTCACTTCGTTCTTGTCTTCTTTAATATATTGTTTTTTATTATTAATTGTAACTTTTAAGTGATCTTACACTTGGCTTAATCGATCTCGCATTTCCTATTAATATTGGACCATTCCAGCAATCTATGATGAAGAGTTCAAAATGGGCTAATTTATTTCAGGTGATTCAAACAGCATTAATGTTTACTCTTCCAGTAGTTTTTTTTTTTTCCTTTGAATTATTTTGCTAAATATATTGAATTAGGTAAGCATGATCCCAGCAATGAAATTTTGAAAAGTACTACTTTTAGGATGTCACCTTGTTAACGAAAGCATTACACGAACGAGATAATCGAGTTTGTGTCATGCCGCACAATTTTTGGTCCAATCATAATAGAAATGTTGTCGTCAATTCTGTAAGTTCATGTCTCTTTTCCACTCATTTTTGCTTTATTTGCAGTTTATGCATGACATAGATTTAAATATAATCAATTAAAGATCTGAAGTGTTAACTGTTGATTGTAAAGTAGTTAAAAATTATCTAAACGATGTTACAGTAAAAAGCAAAAAATATTCTCTCCCTACAGTAGTGATCTGCAATTCATCAGTCATAATAGTTCCTCTATTCATCATTCATACAAGAATTCAAAGAAAATGTTTTTATTTTGTAGTTATAAACTCTGAGATAAATTTGTCTGTAGAAATAGTCATTTTAGTCACTGTGGCAAAGTGAATATGGTCGTCGACGTCGCGCAAGACGTCCATTTGAATTTGTGCGTTTTTTGCTTGATAATAGAGATTCGGATGCTAATGAAGACCCTCCAAGTGTCAGTGAGTTGCGTAATTTATCGATCATCCGCAATATTCCTTTCGTTATTCCTTTTATGCAGCGAATTGAGGTACGCTTACTTCTTTCTTATGAAGTTATCAAGCACTTATTTCGTAGTTTTGGTTGTAAATTCGAGTGGATCAACGAAAATTTTAGGTGGTACATTGAATTATTTTCAGATTTTCACAGAATTGCTTCTAAGAGATCGAATACGTAATGATACAGGTAATTACAATGATTATTTTTTCTCAGTGACAACGAAATTGTAAGTATTTAAGGAAGACGTTTATATCTTTGATAAATAAGCATTTCTATAATGTTTTGTGAAAGTTAATAATTGCTATGTCTTTTTTTGCGAAGGGAAAAACGTTAGTTAGATAAAAAAAAACTAAAATTTTTAACAAGTTTTTTTTTCTCGGTTTTTCAGGCCGAAATAGGCATTTTATCGCTGTACACAGAGCAACTTTGTACGAAGATGCATTTAGAGCGTTACAGCCTCACCTTGGTAAAAGTTTTTGACTACTTTCATGACTTATATTGAAGCAAATATTTTCGTCAAATAATTCTTTCAACAGTAGTAGTGCCGTATAAGTCGATAAATGGATATTAAGAATCGTTAAACTATTGCAGAAATGCAGTATCTACGCATTGAATTTTTAGTTCCCGATATGAAATCAACAATTCGTGTACAGATGGTAAATTGGGCAGGACTAGAAGAAGCTGGCGTTGATGGTGGTGGCATTTTTAGGGAATTCCTTTTTGAACTTCTTCAGACCGCTCTTGATCCATCTCGTGGTTTTTTTGCTACAACCCATGAACAGCTTTTATATCCAAACCCTTTGGCACCATTTCTTTATCCGAATAATTTTGTTGATCATTTTTATTTCATCGGTCGAATTATTGCTAAGGTGATTATTAATTTTTGAGTATATAGTTTTTTAAGCTTTTATTCTAAATAATAAGATGATTTTTTGGTTGCTACTGAATCTTATTATGTTATTCCTACGATTTTAATTTGTTATTAGATTAGCTATCTAATTTATTTACATTGCGATTAACCTTTGACGATTATCATCTAAGTATTTAATGAAAGAAATTGTGACCATTAATTGTAATGCTTTTACTTAAGTTTTTTACTTCGAAAGTTTAAGTTGACCTATCTTAATTCAGTCGTTAGTGCAGTTTTGTCATCTACCATCTGGAATTAGGAAAAAGTCGACTAAATTGCTCTGGATTATACTTTGGATAATTTGCAATTTTGATCTCTTAATTTGTTTTCATATATGCTTAATTTATATGTGTTTTATATGTGATTTCTTAATTTATGCATTTTGCAGTTAATATATGAAGGTTTACTGGCTGACATTCGTTTTGCAAATTTCTTCTTGCTGCAGTGGATGGGAAATCCGGACGGAACAGTTCTGGATTTGGAATTAGTTAAATCATATGATCCTCTTTTGCACAAAAATCTGAAGTTTTTGAAGCGTTGCTCAACAGAAGAAATCGAAAATCTTGATCTTGATTTCAGTGTTATGACTGATAATTTCGGCGTGACGGCGGTAAGAAATAGATTCTTTTGTAAACATAATGATCGTTAAATTGCTGACTTTTTATTATCAAATTTTATTGCTTTTTTGTTAACGAATCTTTTTAAAAGGTATAACTTATCACTTTCTGCAGAAGGTAGAATTAAAGAAAGATGGTAGTTGCATCAAAGTAACAGCAGACAACAGAATGGAATATATACAGTTATATGTTAATTACTATCTTTCCAAGCGAGTACGTTCATTTTGCCAATTATTATTATTTATTTATTTTTTTTTTCATTAATGCAGAAGTTTATGTTCATTGCCTTTGTAAATTATTAAAACAAATATTGAATACTCGCTCAAAAAAATCTAAAATATTCAGATTTTTTATAGCTTTCACCGATGATTGCCGCGCTTCGTAGTGGTTTGAGGAATGTTATAGATCCTGAATGGTTGCGAATGTTCTCGCCGTTAGAAATTTCAATGTTGGTTGGCGGTAGTGATTCAGAAATTGATTTCAATGAGCTAAAAAAATTCACGACTGTACATAACATAAAGTGTAAGAATTAGTAGTTCTCCCATTCGTTGCCTATGTTTTCAATAATTTGATTTTGCTTACTTATAAATTATAATCCTCTTGAACATATTTCATCTAGAAAACGTTTATTTAAGCAGAACATGACCAACAGTACATGGATCTATTCTGGTTGGTTATCAATGGTTTTTCATCTGGAGACAAAAAGAAGCTGTTAAAATTTATAACTGGTTGTCCACGACCACCCATAATGGGTTTTAAGGTAATATTTCTTCTCTTTTGTATTTGTTTTAAAAAAGAGTTATTTGTTCTGCAATTAAAGATGAGAATTTTTATTTGATAATTAAGGTAGAAAAAGCTCTTAAGCTATCATTCATATGTGGAAAAGAATTATATTTTATAATGTTTTTTTTTTTTTTTTTTTTTTTGAGTGTTCTTTTTCTATGATAGTAATGTTCCGCAATGAAAAAGGAGTAGTAGTTTGAGAACGAAGCAAAATTTTTTCAAATTTATTATAATTTCTGTGCTCATAATTTAGAGGCTTTCTGGAGTAATTCATAAAATAAAAACAATTTTTGATTTACAAAAGTCTAAATGCGTGTGTATTTGCTTAGACTTTAACACCGCCAATGGGTATTCAGCTCGTCCATGACGTTGATAAACTACCGACTGCTGCAACATGTATGAATTTGTTGAAGCTGCCACTATATGATAATGCTGAAACGTTGCGTCGTAAACTAATCTATGCAGTAAATTGTGGAGCTGGTTTCGAACTTTCATGATATTTCTTTTGCTAGTTTTGGAAATTTTGCTAATATGAATGAACATAGTTGACTAATTTTATAAATCTAATTGTAATTATTCGAAGTGTTACTCGATGAGAACTATTTCACATTTTGTACATCTTCCGAGTGTTACCTCGTATTTCATACCACTTCAAATGTATTTGAAGCTTCAATTTGATAATGAAATCATACTTAATCAAAGTTTTCAGTGAAACTTTTTAAATTAAATTGATTTTATGTCTATATGCAAAATTAATAATATAAAAATCGTAGGTTCAAATGAGTGACTCATGCATGAGTTTGTTACATTAAGGATGAATAAATGAAGATCGTACAGTCCTAATACAAGAAATTCTTTCTGTATATGTTCATGAATTTAGGTTTTGATTGGTAAATTTTTGATTTTTTGGAAGTCTTTGCTATTTTCACAAATGTTATTGTACTTGTTATCTTTCCATCACTAAGCTATATACAGTTTGTAGTCTCTGTGTTTGGATGTATAGTGTTCTTTTTGCAGATATCTGTAAAATACAACATTTTTTATTAAGATAGCATTGACTTTTGTATTGCTCTCATGCGAGTTATCGCTGTTAAATGTCTCATTCGTTCTTTAGGTTAAAATTTTTATAATTTTTTACATTATTTGCGTAAGAATAAATGTAGATCACTCACTAGCTTTTCAAAATAAGCCGCTCTGAATAAAACTAGAAATATGAATCAAACATCTGAGTAGAGTCGGACACAGTGAGTTATTTTGATAAGTTCTTTTTTTTTTAATTTCCATCCAAAATTACAGTTTGAATAAACTTGGGAAGCAAAGGTGCAAACTGATAGCCACATATACAAATTTGGTTGTGTTTAATGGAAGAATCGTCCGATGGTCTGCATCTCGACAGAGGTATTTATTGTTTGGAATATGTTTTGTTTGTAAGAAAGGATATTTTCTAGTTATTATTCATACTCTTTAAATCATGTCAATAGTAACGACTATTCTGCATAATGTGTTTACTGCTAAAAATGTATTAAAGATTTTGAATAATATTCAGTGATGTTATCAGTCTTTCAATTATCTTACGAATTTAATTGGCTAAAACTAATGCACTAACGATTGCAGATATTCAAAGAATTCTTGAGTTGATCGAACATGTACAAAAAACCGGTGAACTGAATAGTCCGAAGCTTACATCGCTGCAAAATATTTTACAATCTGACTTCTTTTCATCAGTTCGCGAAGTTTTTGAAAATGTTTACGATACTATCAGTGCTGATAGTGCTCGAGAGGTGTATTTTCAAGATCTTAAAAAATAAGAATACTGCCTGATAATGAAAAATTTTTTGTGTGTATATGTAACTATGGTTAAAATTTGCTGTCTCGTTCGAGCAGCTTTGAGGAAATGTATTACTTTAAAATTTTTTAGGTGAGAACAAGTGCAACAGCAAAAGCAACTGTAGCAGCATTTGCAGCAGCTGAGGGACATGCACATCCACGAATTGTTGAACTTCCGAAGACAGACCAAGGTCTTGGATTCAACGTTATGGGTGGGAAAGAACAGAATTCACCTATTTATATATCTCGTATTATTCCCGGAGGTGTTGCTGATAGAAACGGACAATTGAAACGTGGTGATCAATTGGTTGCGGTTAGTATTTTTATTTGGTTTAATTAAGTAAAAATAATTATTTTTTTCAAATTTTATTTACACAAAAATTCTAACACAATCGTCTGGGCTGTGACTATATGAAAGATAATACTGAAGTTTTTTTTTTTCTTCTTTTTTCTCGAAACTCTACATTCTAGTAACTGAACGATTCAAATACTAGTCATTTTTTTTTTGCAAATTGATATTTGTAGTACTGCTTAGCATTTAATCAGTAACACAGATGTCGCACAGTTGCATATGTGGTAATGCTGCTTTTTATGTTTTATTTTTTTCAGAATAAATACATCGTTTCAGTTTTGAATTCTCTATCTTTAATGTGTAAGTTTTTGCCAAAAATTATTTGTAGCACAATAATTTTTAGGTAAATGGAGTTAATGTTGAGTGGGAAAGTCATGAAAAAGCTGTGGACTTGTTGAAATCAGCACGAGGTACCGTGAGATTGGTTGTACGTTATACACCACGATTACTGGACGAAATGGAGCGACGCTTTGAACGGCAGCGACGAAGGGCGAATCAAGCTAGTCCTGCACCCATTTTCAAACGATAGGCTTAGTTAAATGCTTCTGTTCGTTTTCTCTCAATTAAAAAAATTTTTCTTATTTGTTGTGAAATATTTTACTATAGAGGAAAAGATTATATCTAGCTCATTTTACCAAGATCTTGGGATTGAATTTAATTAATTTTGATTGATTTGTTGGATTTTATTGATCTTATGAACAGATTTTTGACTGATTAATTTTGCTGTGCTTTAAATTACCGCATTTGTAATGGATATTTTGTTTTATAAATTCGCTTCAAATTTTTAAGATTTCTTGTATAATTTCACAATAGTTTGACTTTTTTTTATTGTTTGTGTTCTGGTATTTCTTATTTTGTATAAATATAATATACGATTGAATTCTACATAATTATTTGTTTAAAGCTCTCGCTATATACATATATACTCCAGTTTTTTCTCTCTTTGAACTTCTTATCGAATTTATCTTTTCACAGAAAACTAAGTATTTAATTCGACTCCAGTAATATATCTACTGATCCAAGTTAGCATAGTTACAACTCTTGCTTTGTTATTATGGATAATTTCTCCCGGAATTTTTGGAGGTATTTGTAGGGATTTTAAATGTTGGCACATGAGCAACTTTAGGCTTAGTTGAATATGCTCATTTGAAAAACGTTTCGCTGTAAAAATGCGACTTTATCTTTGGTCATATATTTCTGATAGAGATTAATGTCACAAAACGCCGCTCAGATTCGAAAGCAGTTAATCAATTTGGAAAGAGAAGAGAGAGCTTTGCAACGACTTCATGTCCATTTTACAGGTTTCTGTTTTATGGTGTATTTTTTATCTTTGTATAGCGTTAAGTTCATATCCTTTCGTTAGAGAAAAGAAAAAAAAAAAAAAAGGCGAGAGTTTCTTTATATTACCTTGTTATCTTTGTGCTTAACAATATATTTAGTACCAAATGTATCTCCATATCTGATAATTACATTTAAAAATTTTCTAAGTTAGTAAGATAATGTGGAAAGAAACTTTGTATTTTAGTGCTCATTTGTTTGATAATAATAATGCCAGCACTTATCAGATTGCTTGAAAAGCCCAGCGTCTTATTAGCTTTTTTTTTTTTTTTGTTGGTCCAGTTGTGACATACATGTGAAATACGACAATTCCAGGATTACTACGAGCTGTAGAATTAGAGTCAATGCGATTAAATGCATTGAAAAGCATAGTCCAATCTTCACAACGTGCATCAAGTCCGAATGCTTCTTCAGTACCAGATTCGATCAAAACGTTAGATTCTTGAATGATCTTCTCTCTTTCTTCACTTTTCAATTGTTAGATCTGGAATCTTAGAAACCTATTTTGATGTTTTAGCATGATACATTTTTGAATTTCATAAGTATACATTTCTTTTGTTGAAAGTTTTTGTAAAGTTAGTAAGATAACATGGAAATAAAGTTGTACTTTAATATCTGTTTGTTTGGCGAAAATTTCATCTGCTGAAGTGCGGCTTGACTGTTTCTTTTATTTTGATTATCGCCTTTCTGTCTAATTTGGATATGATATATAATACACTTTACTAAAGATGTTTTATTATAATCGTCAATATCTTGGTGAGATATATATCAGTGATTTGTCGGAATCTCATTTTGCATTTTCCAGATATGAGAAATAATGAATAGATCAAAGATAGCAATGAGAAATTGGCGTTTGCTGTATGCGACTCGAAAATGTTACGCAAAGGATGGTGTTTCTACTGATTTAAAAATTACTGACAACTGTGTTAATCGACTACGGGAAGTTGCCAGCACTGGAGAGCATCTGAGAATAGTGGTCGATGGTGGTGGCTGTTCCGGTTTTGAATATAAAATGAGTTTAGACAGTAAAATCAATGATAATGATTTTGTTTTCTGCAAAGATCACATTAAAGTCGTTGTAGACGAGGTTTGTTTTTAAATCTTATTTTAAGGATTTGTAAAATTTTAAAAGGAGGAATCTAGAAAGAACACTCTGTTTGAGGTTTGAGGTTCTACATCGGAGATTATATCGCTCCTTATTAGAGAGGAGTTGATATAGCAGGTGATCGTTTGAAAGCTACATGAAAATTCAAAACTACGACAAAGAACTTATGATATGTATTAAAATTTGGTAGAACAAAATTTGTAGAAAAGGAAAGAAAATGGAGTGTAAAATGTAGCATAGGCTAATTTAATTTTCTAAGGTGCCTGTGTAAATGAGCTAAATTCTTGGATTTCTTGCATCATTCAAACATATACAATTTCATTTGAGCTGAGATGAATTAGTTCTATAAATAATGTTATCATTCCTATTTTCACATTAAATGAATAATAGATTAGTATGTGTGTAAGATCCTAGGTATTTTAATGCAATAATTTTGCGTTTTTTTTTTGGAACGTAAGACATTTCAGATATCACTTCAGTTTTTGAAGGGTGCAACAGTAGATTATTTGGAAGATTTGATGCGATCATCATTTCGTATCATTGATAATCCAGTCGCCGAGAAGGGTTGTTCTTGCGGATCATCATTTGCTATCAAAATGGATTAGTTTTTTCACTGTGAAGCTTACGCCATTGTTTTATTGTTTGTTTCTTCTTGAAATGAGCATGTTTTTAGCTTGAATAAATAGCTGTCGTGCATTGTCTTCATGCTTTGACTACTTTTTATTTGGTGAATTGTGCAAAGTTCATTCAACAAAAGTATTTGTAAGCTGATGAATTTATTGCCTTTTTTTGAATGAAGTTGGAAAAGGTGTCTTTCTCTAATCTTCATCCCTATTTAGACCATTTTAAAAAGCAGCGAGTTTTTTTTTTTTTTGTTTATAAATGTCCAAATAAATTGTTTAATAACAACAGCTATTGGTTGGTTTCAAAATTAAAAATTAATTTTCATGCTCAATTTTGGTTTCTCTGGAAGAGTATTATGGGAATATGATTAGGAAGGAATCACTGTTATTGGGCGAGATGAATCCTGACTTATTGTCTGATTCAATGGGATCGATTAAAACTGTTTTATTTGAGGGATGTTCTTCGGAAGGGTAAATCGCATGAAGGATCTATTACTTCTTATGTGATTTGAGGTGTCAGATATTCGAAATTCTTGGTGCGACACTGTGGGTAAATTTGTTACCATTCTATTAAATCTCTGGAGATTGTTATGCGGCATTTCATTCATTACGATGTTGTTTTATAATTTGGATGATCTTTAGGATATCTAATTCGAAAATGCAAGGAAAATTATTAAACTGGTACTCGTTCATATTTCGTAAGCAATCGCTGACAGCATTACTAATGTTTCCAAGAATTCCAAGGAACCATGGTCGAACAGGTGGTCGGGGAAAGAGCAATTGGGGTCAAAAAGGTTGGCGATGGTTTACTGGAAGCACTGCTTTTCCTTTACTTGGCTTTTCAATGATAACAACATTCAAGGATCTATTTGGTACACCACCATTTCAACTTGATAAAGATCCACTAAAACATAAAATCAAAGAAGTAAGAAATTCCAGTACCACTTGTTATAGTTGCATTTACTTTTTTCTAGAAATAAAAGAGTAATCAATGGAATGATTTGTCTTAACTTCTTAACCTTTTAATGCATTAAATTTATGTCAAATGTATGCTGAGTTTTACACTAAATTCATTTAAAGGCATGGTTGTACAGGAAGGAACATAAGTATAATCAAGCAGTAATAGTCCTGGAAGAGGCAATGCAAATGGCCACTGGACGAAACAATGAATTGATTGTTAGTCGGATTATTGATGAATTAGCCAATACTTATTATGAAATGGGAAAATTAGATGAAGCAGAACAAGCTTTTCGTGATCTTTTGCAGCGGTTTGTGCATTTTATTAACTTCTCTGGCTTTGGTTTTTTTTTTTTTTCCATTGATGTAAATAGTACAGGACTTCTCGATATCATTCTCCTACATTACTCTTCTGTTTAAAAGGCATTATTTCCACTTTATTATTGTGAATTATTATTTTGACTTTAAGTTTTTGCATGTCTCAACTTATTTTTCTCGGATTTTCAATGTAAATTTTAAACTATTGATCAGCAGATGTTTTGGAAGACTTTAAATAGGTTTTATTTTTGGATGTTAATGATTTAGATTGATGATTTTACACACAAAAAAAGATGACGACCCTGAATTTATCGATGTGAGCCTCAAATTATCCGATATATTTGCTCAGAAAGGCAAACTAGATGATGCCGAAATTGGTTACAAACATTGTGTTGCTAGACAAATGAAAGTATGCAGTAGATAAAATTCATGATATGTGCTCTCTAAAAAATATATTTTCATTTTCTTTTCCCTTTAAATGACATATCGAAACTTTATCCAAACTTCCGTACTTCATTCTTTATATACATATAACCACACAATTCTTTACTGATCTGAACGGAATTTTTACTGAAGGTAGTCGAGAAGCATATGGCGAAATATTCAATAAACTACAGTGGTTCGCATGATATTCCACAGGTCGTGAACCAGTATGGAGCTGTATTTACAGATCCTCTTGCCCTTTATGGCCTGTGTCTTGAGCAGTACGCTCACTTCATTGTAAGTTTGGTATACTGCAAATCTTTATAGTATAGAAATTATTAATTTAATTGCAAGTCGAATATTACAGGCTCGATACAGGGAAGAGAAAAGGATAGACGATACTGCACAACTTATAGATGAAGCTTTGAAGGTAGTTTCTCTAAAAAAAAGTTTCACTTTACTCCGGAATATCACATAATTTTAGAACACCACTATATATTCTAAAAAGGTCGACATATTTGTAATCCTACTTTAATTTTCTCATGATTTTAGATTTCATATCAAATTTACGGCATCAATTGTTTCCACACAATCAATATGCTCAATAATTATAGTGCTCTGTTGATTAACAGGAACAGGTAAATCTCGTCCAGAGAATTGATTAGTTAACTTTATTTCTTGGTATAAAAGAATCAGTCTCAAAAAAATTAGCGAAATCTGCATGCTTGTTTATTTTATAGTAAATTGTTGCGCTTCCTACCTAGCTCACTGAGAGAACACTCACTTAGCTTCTGAAAAGGAAGTATAGAATTTACGAAGGGAATTATTTTACAGTGGCCCAAAGGCGAATTTCATTAACAATTAACAAGTTTTTTCCATTTCGCTTGAATCTATCAGGTTTGATCTTGCAAAAAAGTATTTGGAAATTGGTATAGATAGGATATTGTATATCGATGAATGCAGCAGCCTATTACCTGGATACTATTGTAATTATTCAGAAGCACTTTATCATTGTGGTCAAAGGTACGTTCGTATGAAAACTTTCCACTTCATGATTGGTTATTTATCATATTGAAATGACCACCGAACTATCAGTAACTGAACCACATAGAGTATAAAATTAAGGAGTTGATGTCTTGCATTGCAAGCCACTTTTATTCAACACCTAGTAGTGTACCGCAGATAATGTGCTACTGGATGCTGATAGTTTTGATGATTCGGCTAATGCATTAAATTTCAGAGTAGAGGCGCTTCAGTATGCAAAAAAAGCTGTCAATTTATCACAGTCCGAATCAAAAGAATTAAAAAATTATACGACAAGGTTTCTCCAAGATATGGAAAAAGATTATAAGCGCCATCGGTGATGGCATATTTAAGAATCATTTTTGTTGCCTACTTTCTCTTTTAAAACTACTTTTCAGTATTTTTGGCAGGATAAAATGTTTTCAGAAAATCTTTTAAGATTAAATATACTTAAGATTCTACTAGATTTATTCTAACGTTAGTTTAAACATCCCTGGACATAGCTAAGCCTTTAGATTCACTAAGGTTATTATTGAATACTCTTAAGCTTATCTAGCTTTAGGAGTTCAGATCTCGGAATTTATAAACGTTCTACAACATATGAGATCAATGAATAAAACTTTAAAAAAGGAAAGCTTTCCGCCAAAACTACTTAACATTTGAACTAAATTTCATTTTGTCAAAAGATTTTCCGAATGAGGATAAATAAATGTTCACAGAGAGATGTATGTAACGGCAATACATGTGGAATTACTACAAATAGATTGATTCAATAGATGAATAAAATGTTCCCAAGATTTAATCAAATTTCATTTATCAACCTAAACGATTGTGACATATCCAGTGGCAATACATTAAATGTTAATTTATAAACTTCCTCCATACCCTCGTAGACCAGCATTTCAGGTATAGAAAAATCTGGATTTATTTTTTCTTGAGTAATCATCACGTGACCATCTATCATCGCTTTGAGCAGCAGTTGTCCACCTCGATCTCTTTTTAGATAGACCTTGAAACGAAATAAACTATAAAATAATACTGTAGTGATGGACCACGAAAAATAACGTTTTGTATCTTCCAATTAAATCGTTATTAACAATTTTACAAAAAAAAAACGTCACCACATTTGTTCATTCTAATGCCGAGATTTGCGGAAGGACAGGATAGAAGCCTAAACTTTTAATATAAACAGCAGAAACGGTTCGGAAAGTCAAAGTGCGTCACTTATTCGATTCTTTACTTCTTTTAGAATGATTTAAATAATCATACATACATTTAAGCCAGGATGAAAATTCATCTTATGCTGGCATACTAGAAGATCATTTTTCCGTACTAGATCGCCCTCAGTCTTGTAAATCCCTCGGAATGGTATATTTCGTCTTGGTCGTAACAAATTACGAACAATCGAATAAGTTGGTGATGAAATTCGAAGTAGTGCGACACCACTGCTAGTACATGCTGCTGCCATCAATGTGCCTGCAAATTACATAGATTCTTTATTTTTTGGGGAAGACTGGGCACAAAGTTTGTGAGAGCGTTCACATTCCCTACAAGTAAATACATGAATTACGGGTTGAATCACAAGTCATCTATTTCCTAGATATCATATCCCATTCCTATTTCGATTATGACTTGTTAAATTATCAGTCTTATCATCCTTTAACCCAACGAACACTAAAAAGAATGCAAAATATTATTCAAACAAACAATTGAAATAAAATAGAATTGGACGAGATTTTCATACAAGTTGCATGGTTTGGTACAAGAGCGCTATTGTCTGCGTCTCGGGCGCTGTGGAAAGATAGAGTTGGACTGAAGGTGCGGTAATGTGTTTGAGCATGCGGTAATGTGTTCATTTGATAGTCTGTTGTGATCATCGTATAGGTTACAGTAGATAATATGTGCAGAGAAATGATTTCAGATTGTGCTGCTCAATGGAATTTAATGAAGATAAAAGTAGTACTGGGAAAAGGATGCAGAATACAAGTAGTATGTTTATTATTTCTCTCCATCTCCTCTATTTGGTTATATTTGATTACTCATCAAACCTGTCTTGTCATTGTTTACAAAAATTGATGACAGCAAAATAATTTACATCATATTAGTGATTTGGTAGTAAAGTGATGCTAAAAGTGCACATTGTCATGTGGTTTGTTTAGTTTAGTGACTGTTAAAATAAAGTGAAGAAAATGATGCAGAAACTTTTAACATTTAACTTTTGATTTAAGTTGTTTACGAGTAATTAGATAATAAAAGTAGGGAAAAGGAAAATGAGAACGGAGGTCAGGACAAGTCATCTGGTGGAGAGATAGGTAGGAAGATTGGAATGAGGTGTCAGAAAAAAGTTCCAAATTAAGCAGTTGTGATAAACTGTTATGGATCAGTTTTTGTTTTCAAAAGTTTTTAATCTTTAGAAATTCCTGCTGTCAAATTCTCGAAAACAAGAGGACAATCAATATCTCCAGCGTTATCTCGTCACAGCGATGATAGCGGTAAGCACTGAATGTAATACTAAACCATATGAAGACGTGCTAAATTATTGCTAATTACCTGGAACTTTCCTTTGGCTTCAATCTCGGTTCATATAAAATTCAACAATTAAGCGGTAATAAACAATTGTATTGTCTTAGACAGTAGATTTGTTGTATCGTTCGATGAATCAATTTGCGTAAATCAGTTCGATGAGGTAGAAAAAGTTAACAACAAAGGTCAAATCTTCGAACAACCACAGCACTCAAGATCAAAATCACAGCAGTTCCTATCGGTTTTATCGGTAAGTTGTAGTATAAATCTACCGTCATTTTTTTACATATATTTTTGCATCCCGATAGTAATCTAAATTTCATCACGTCTCGAAAAATTTCAATCGCATATGCGTTGTCGATTTCGTATACTTCATCAGTTTTTCAATAGTGTCAAGTCGTTTTTTACATTACTGCTTGATTTATTAACCGCGTGACTCCACAGTGAATATTGTTAGGGAATCCATAACTTTACTAATTTAACTCACCATTTTTCTTCTGTCCTTCTTGTGCACTATTTTTGTTGATCGATGTTCGACACACTAGTAATTTGAAGGAGTGAAGTTTCAGTTTGCAAAGGCAAAATTTTTTTTAATACGATTAGAAATACAATAAGAAGTAATGTTGTTAGTATTTCAAACTTATTTTTGTTTTTGAAGGAAACGAAAAGGGAATTTGTAATGTTACTATTATTTATTTTCCAAGGGGAATTTTCATCTTTTCCCATTTAAACGATCTTTGCTTTGTGATTCGTTGTTTGCATGTTTCTACTTGAACATTTGTTACATGTTTCTACTTGAAAATCTACCTATTTATCTGTGTACTATAAAATGTACTCCATTTTGTCGAAGACTCGAATTTAGGACGTCTTTCTGCTCATTGAAATCTTGGATCTCAAAAAGGAAAGATTATCGGTGAGAAATTTAATAGTAAATTATTATCAGATATTCATCACTTTCCATGATGCGCAGTAAAATACAAATCTTTATTTGAAATTTCATTTCCTTAAATGAGTCTTAAATTTTTGTCCTCGAAAATTTTCTGTTTTCACATCGAAAAGGCAGTCTTAAATTTTCGTGATCATAATCAACTTTATTGGGAGAAGCCAGCTAACATGTATTTTGAAACATTAATGTTTCACCAACAGTTTTATACGGATTGTTGTTTAGGTCTTGTTTCTGGAATATTATTTTATTTATGATCATAAGTTATCCAAAAAAAAAAACTGCATTTAGTTCAGATGCATGATTTCATTCAAAGTCTAAACAGCTTTTTGATTCCACTTCTATTCATTGAATAGATAAAATTGTAGTGTTTTTTGTCCTCACCAGTAAAATAGCAAGGTTAGTTACTTTTGCTATCAAATTTTTAAAATCCGGAAATGCATTTTTCCTTCAATATTCAATGTTGTTTCAAATTGGGGAGAAAGGTATAAAATGGCCGGAACAGTAATCTTGATTGCACTACACTTAATTTTTTTCAGCGAGAAGCAAGTGATTGTGATAGTGATTCGATTGCGTCATGCAGTTCCGAAAGTATAATTGAAAAAACTCCGAAAAAAAAGTTGCGGTCATCTTCCTCTTCTATCCATGTAATGATTTTTTTGTCTTTTTTAGAACATATAGGCGGTAAATCCAAATTTTCAATTGTTTAAGTTTTTTATTTTTGTCGTTAAATTATTTTAACTTGACTTATTAATTTGATTTATACACTTTTATGCAGAGAAAGCATAAGTAAATTTTTTTATTGGTGAGGAATAAGATCGGGAATAATAGACAGATAATGGATACTATGATTGAGTAATCAGTTTGTATTCTTTCATTTGAAATGCGAGGCCTGGTAAATGATAGAATGAATTAAAGAGAGAAGATTTATTGCAAGATAATGCGATGTGATTATTTTAAGACATTTTCATAAAAATTTTGTAATTAAAGTTGCATTCTGTAACTCCAGTTAAAAGTATAGCTGCTGACTTGACTCATTGCAACTAGTCGAGCTGAAAAAAGAATTACTATCTCACTTTCCCGAAATATTTGCCGAATATACTGTGATATTACTAATTACGATTAGAATATCTTTATCAAAAAATACTGCCTTGATTGCTAAAAAAAATACTCCTTGTTTCTAATTTTTTTTTTTAAATTTTTAATAAATAATTTTAAAACAGTTTGATTTCCATAGAAATGTTTGAAGTAGTAAGTGGGTGCTAGAAGAGTACAAAAGTGTATGTTGTAATGAAAATGTTTTGTTGTGGAATAACGAATAATTGGCAAGAGGTCCGTAACTGAAGAAGGTTTTTTTTAATTTTAATTATAAAACAAAATAGAGTTAGAGTTGATCATTTGATTGTCGTTCTTTAAAAATGGTTGCAGAAAATTTAGTTAGAATAGGTCTGAATTGTTGTTTGGAAGCGCATAGTTGTAAGAGAGGACGAGAGTTTTGAAAAAAATTTTTTTTTTCGAAACTCGACAATTTGAGGATAAAGTTATTCTTTCTCTGAAAAGAAAATGCCTGCACCAATTTTATTGCTGCAAAATAAGTTTCACTATCAACTTGAAAGGTTTCTACCCGATACTCTAAAACATTTCAAATAAGTATCTTCATTAGTTGACAGAATTTCAGAAATGCAAACGAATATCATCATCAAATTTGGATAATTAGAAATGAATAATGATTTGGTACTATTTATCGAAATATTTTTTCAATTTGACTTTCTTTATTAAAGAAGTACTTGTTTGGGGTATATTCAAATAAAGCAATTTTGACATTAAAAATTGTGTTAATTTACTTCAGTTATCATTCATAGGAAATACTAGTAATTTCAAGGCATGGACATTTGAATTGACGTATTTAGATGAAAAAGCACTGAAAAAAAAAGAAAAAGTAAAAAGTATTCAGTTTGATAGCTATCAATTGCTGATTATTCTTTTCTGGTCTTTGCAAGTCCTCAAAGTTGGTAAGATATTTCGATGGAAGATGGAAGAAGAGGTAGAGGGGAAAATAGGAGAGAGAAAAGGTTACTTACTGCATTCTCACTGCTTATTAATACTTCTGACCAGATTTTTGAATCTTACTTCAAAAACTAATAAACCAAAAGTCAGCTGAGATAGTTACCGTTTTCTGTCATTCACATTTCAGTGCAGAATTTATAATTCTTTTTCAGCAACATGAATTACTTAGTGCAGGAATCAGTGATCGAGGTTCAATTAGTTCCATTGATTCATCATTTCGGGCTGACAGTGTGTCTCGTCTAAGTGCTATTTTTGATAAGGCTAAAAATAGAGGACGTCAGCTGGTGCATTCACACTCACATAAGAACAAAAAAGTTACAAGTATGAATTTTAATACAACATTTAAAATAATAAATTTTCTGTTCAGTGTTGATGAGTGATTCTTTCAAAACAAATTTTATATGTAGATATGTACATAGATTTAATCTTACAACAAATCAAATTCTCAATGTTTATTTTTAGAGAATACCGATTCGATTGAAGAAATTCATCATGAGGTCACTGTTAGCCAAGATGCACTTTGTGCTGGAGCTGAAGCTGAAATTCAAACTAGGACCTGTACAGAAGCAGAATCACCTCCTTCAAATATGGTGTGTTATTTTCTTTTGTCGTTTTGAGAAAAAAGTTTCATTATTTGATATTTAAGCTCCTATTTATTGTGTTGAACAATTTGGCCTTATCTGGCTGGAATTCCTTGTTTTATGGTTTTTTTTTTTAAAAAAAAAAAAAACTTAGTGACAGCAAATAATATATGCGCAAAAATCGGATTTCTTCTAGAATCCACTCACTCAGTCATCATCGTTTTTCGACTGGTTTCATGCGTTTAAAGTCGCTGGTGGCGAAAGGAATAAAGTTGTGAAATCTGAGCAACCGTGGATGTTTCAGGTTTTGATCAAGAGGTGTATTATACTTTTATTGCAATGCAGATGTGTTACTTCACAATTAGAGGCTTCTATATGGTTAAATTGTTATGTTATGGATTAACAGCAATTCAACTAACAAAAGATTAAGCTAAATGGCGTAGCGGCTAATGACTGAGGTCTTTTTTACCAAATTTATGTTATACCGTCCACTGATAGCGGAAATATACCTGCAACGAGGATGTGACAAGCCCAAGATATTATTGTAAGGATAAACATAATATGCATTATTACATTTATACGAACTGGGATCACTAATTTGTCATTTCAGGCATCAAATTTTGCCTTTTTTGCGACATCGCGTCCTTTCTTCGTTTCTACTTCTTGCACTCTCGATTCTTTCTCCTGGTTTGCTTATTTATTTTTAATTTAATTTCCATTATTAGTTAATATATCGTCAGATTATATATCTCTTTGAGAATAAATAAAAATGTTGCTTTTCTATATGCATTTATTCTTATAGCACTTTAGAATTCCCGAAAATTCCAGGAATTGTAGGAATGATTTTTGAGATTTACATGTGTTTCAATTCCTGCATTAATTTGTTTTTTTCAGGTTTTATAAGTGGTTTTCTTTGGGGTTTGTACATGTCCTTTCTGTGCTTTCTATATTTTTTTGTATCTGGACCAGTGAATGAGAATCATCCTGTACATAGCGATGTTGTTTTGAATATATTGGACGAGTTTAAGGAACAGAAAACATCAAGAAACAAAGTTTATAAGGTCGGCTGTTCATTATTTCTTTTGTATGTATATTCACTGACTTCATGTGAGATGTTTTTTCTTTCATTTTATTTGTTTCTGTTTGACTAGTGACCGCTTAATTAACAACATTTTTGTCGATTTTTCTTTTTTGCTGTTTTCTCATTTATTGTGGTCCTATTATCCGTCTTCGATTGTTTATTACTATAGTTCATGTATGATAGCATATTTTTTAGTACAAATTCCATTTTATGTTTTACTACGCGCATTTTACGGTTAAGATAATTTCGTATTGATCTAGAAAATAGATCAATTTACTGAAATTAATAGAGCTGATTCACCAGATGTTTACCGATTGTAATGTTGCTTAAGTTTTTTTTTTTTTTCTAGTCTTTCTCGCAGAGCTGTAGTTAGCATATAGCTTGTTTCATCAGTTTTTTTCCATATTAAGCAACTGTTTGGTTAGCAATTGGCAATTATTCTGGGATTATTTACAAAAAAAATAAGGTGACTTGTATAGGGCTGGATGAATGAACTTCGTGGAAAGTACGATTCTTCGACTTATCATGTAAATAATGCTCAGACGGTGCTTGTACGTCTTGATGGTAATTTACTGCGCATTTCACGGCCAGAACGAGCTGTGCTCAAGCATGCTTTTCACACTGATCCAACATTAACAGAGGCAGAACCAACAATTTCGAGTCAAAGTATATACAATTTAACAGGAGCCATGGTAATGTGAATATTTTTTAGCTACAGTTTCCAAATTCGGTTTATATTTCCTTTATTATTCTTGGCGGATGGTTCAAATTTCATATGTTTAGGTCACGTTGCGACCTAAACGTTTGGCAAAAAGACGGTGGTGGAGTCGTAAGTATCCTATACATATTCGCTTAGCTTCTAGAGATAGCGAAATATCGACGTTTCCATTACTTCGAAGGTCACTTTCTGTGAATGAAACAATCGAATTAGTGAAATCTGCATCATCCAGCGGCGAAGAATGTGATAACAATGAATGGAAGCTGTTTGAAAAGAGAAGAAAGAAAATAAGGTTGATGATTTATTAGTAGGAAAATTTGAGGTCCTTAAATTGTAGGTTTTATAAATTATATAATGATCTAATGCTTTATATAATGTATAATGCTTTTTGTGATTCTTAGGGTACTCAATATTAAATTAAACTAAATTTATTAGATTTTATTCAAACTCTTACAACTTTTCAGTTTACTCTTTTCACATGACGCATGGTAGAGCTAATTGTTACTTATAATTTATAAAAGCTAATCACGTACTTACTACTTATGTTTTTTGGTCAGTTGTTTTCAATGCCATTTCCTTGCAACAATATTTCTATGCTTATTGCATGAATGTTCGTTTTAAGATCACCAGAATCAATAAAAACAATGTATAAGAATGATATGAAACATCCTTCACAGGAAAACTTAGATGAAAATTCGCGTATGTCTTTTTTACTGCTCTTAATATTTCTCTATAGATAGATATTATATTCTAGGTGACCTGTCTAATCAATTAAAATGCTTGGTAACAATGCTGCTGTGTATATAGCATATCTATGCATCGACCTGATTGCATAATCATTTGACCATACTATTACTATAAACAATTGTTGAACCTTCTAATATTAGTCAGATTGAACTGCTTCATCTATGCATTAACATGTTTTGACATTTTTAAGCTTTTTTTTTCAAGCGTTTAGTAGTTTTCTAGGTTGAACTTTGTTGAATTAAAAGAGAAGTGCATAATTTGCTGATGTCCATGTATTTTGAAATAATATTGTTTTTTGCAGAATATATGCCTTGTTCAGAAAGTGGCGAAGAAAATCCAGAAAATATTAGTTCATGTTCTGTTGCTTTTGGGAATAATCGCAGCAAAGGTTTAAGTAGAAGTCGAAGTCTGTACTTCTTTGTTCGTAGTGCTAGGGAAAAAGAACGCTGGTTTCACCGGTAATTTTCAATGCTTTTAATATCGCTTATAACTTTAAAAAATTATATTATAACTTTAAAAAATGTAGTTTTTATAGTTTTAAAATATATATACATATGTGATTATCACTTGTTATAAGAGTAGAGAGTATTACGGAAATTGCATGAGAGCTGACATGCACCTATGTTTGTCTAGTACTGCTAGTAGTGTATTTGGACACTCTGGAATATTTTAAGTTTCATATTTTACCAAACAGCTTTTCTGGTAATAATACAGCGAATTGATAGATATTTCCATTACTTCAAATGCTATGATTAAATTATTATAGATTACGAGAAGCGTGCAGTCAGTGCAGTACGGGAACTGCAGATGCAGAAGCAACGGTCAATTTAGATAATTTTTTTGTTTTGAATTTATAAACATCCTTGTAAAACCTAGTTTGATCGTTATATGACTAGATAAAATGGAAGAAGTAATTTCTAACAATAATCAAGATTTGAGAGTTTCAACTGAATAAGACCAAACAGCCCGAACGGCCGAAAAAATAATCTTGATTTATATGGATGCAGATCAGTTGACGAATAGATAGTTCTGTAAATGATCCATTTCTGAAAAGATTGTTGTATAACTAGCTATAATAAAGGATTGAATAGAACAATCAATATTAAAAAAAATAGTATTACAGCTTCTAAGAAGTGACGTGAAGGAAGTTTTACCAGATCGTCGGTTTTCACTTCCGCTATCAGCTGTGAATCCAGATTCGTTGAAATTGAGTTTGGAGTATTTTCTTTACATCAGCAATCGTGTGCAGTTCAATAAGTATGAATTTTTTATACTTTTTTAAATTTTTTAAAGTGAATTTTTTTTTTGTGACTTTTTGACTGTTTTTTGGAAATCTAACGGTTTCCATTCCTATCTAGATGTATTGATGAAGTTCTTAAAACTTTACACGGGGAAAATAAGAAGCAAACCGATGGCAATGTTGTATATATGGATTTGGGACGCAACAAATGGTATCCTGGAAAAGCTGATACTAGCCCACAGCTTGTTATGTCTGTAAATGCTTTAGCTGCTAGGTTCGAGTTTGATCTCTTTTTGTGGCATTCGATTCTTTGACATTATTAATCATTTTATTATAAATATCTGTATATGACGTAAAAAAGTATTTCCAAGAAAGTGATTATTTCTGATAGCTCAATGAAACTTGAAAAATATATTTCAGAATATTTTATGATTTTTGTCGAGATACATATTGGTGCAAGCAGGTGCAAAACAAAATTCAATCTAAATTAGCTACTCTTAATGTTAGTTTACGATCCCTCCAAATATTTTGTATGTGAAGTGTACGGTATTGAAAGCTGTTTGTTGAAAATTAATATGTACGCTAATCATTGTGAATTGCTTACTATATTTTTGAAATTACTGCAAAAAAAATTAGAAAGGGAAGTCAAAAAAAGCCACAAAAATTGAGTTAGATGAATTTATTAAAACCAAACTAAGGATTGGTTTAAAAAGAATTGCTTAAATGTTCGTTTTCTGACTGGTTTTGATTCTATAAAAATTCCCACTTCAGTTGGAATTTAAAATTTGTATTTTTGCTGATTAGGGTTTTGTTTTACATGTCCGTTTAAATAATTTTGCTGTTTGCTTTCAGTTGCCATACTTTATCGAAACTCTGGAACTTTCAAATTTGGATTTAGGCACTACACCACCTGAAATTGTCGCTGTCCACTCACCTGTTCTAGATGATTGGGGGCTTTGGATCGATTTTGAGGTATTCTACTCTACCGATGAAATTTAATTGTAATTCTAGTGATGTGAGTGAGAAATCCAATTGTAAATATAGACATTGGCGAATTTCTGCATATCCACTTATGTTTAATAATTTTTTATTGAAAAATGCTACTGAACTAAATTTTAATTATCTGTGGAAGAACTAAAAGTATATCAATAACGTTGCAGTTGGAAATATATTTTTGTTTTAGTTGAAGTATCGCGGTAAAATACATTTGACATTGGAAACAAAAGTTAATTTAATGAAATTGAAAGAGGGCATGCACAAGAATGGAGTGTGCAGAGAGGTATTGTTTTAATTTTATATCGCATTTGAATGTTCAGATAGTATTAAATTAAATGAAGCAGTTTTTTGACTTCAGGTTAGCAAAAAAAAGACCCCGATACGGATTCATCACTATTCTGACTCTGATTTGCCAGAATCACCCGAAAATAGTCCAGATGAAGATTTTGGCTCAAAAATGGAGAAGTTAGTTGTCTTTTTTTTTCGGAGTATCAAGATTAGATCTGTTATTAGTAATATCAATTCCTATAGTATCGGATAGATTACACATACTGTTTTAAAATGTATATTTTACAGGACTCAGGTTGTCAAGGAAAGTACGGGCAAAAAATTACTGAACGTGGTCGATAAAATAGCTAGCAGTAATATATTCCAAGGTGCTTCCGAATTCCGACCTGTAAAAAGGTTTTTTTCTGCGTATAGGCTCGAGTTAGTTAATAACTTTTCCATTTCTAGTTTCAGTTTTTTTTTAATATAGTATATCGTATTTATTATCTGTTATACTTAATGTACTATTTTTCCGAACAGTAAACATTCTAGACTTTCCTTTTTTCCTTCGTCATTTATCTACGTTCATGATTCTCTTGTTTCCAGTAGGCGAACTTGGAACTACTACACTGAAAGTATTTATTGCAATTTAGATGATGGAGGGTATATCATCGACACGTTTATTACTAAATGTTGATGTAATACGCTTAGAAGGCACTATGACAATTAATATTCCACCACCTCCTTCTGATAGACTCTGGTAAGTATTCTCATTCATCAAGTTAGCAGTTTGATTTTTGTTGAATCTCATCTGTAATGTTTACCTTTAGGATCTTTAGATTGATAATTTCAGGTATGCATTCCGTACTCCGCCGGAACTTTCTATCAGAAGTGTTCCACAAGTGGGCGATAGATTGGTGGATATGAGTACTGTCTCAAGTTGGATTGAAAATAAGCTTCGTTTATTGTTAGAGAAAAATTTGGTCTGTCCAAATATGGACGATCTGATCGTTCCTGTAATGAGTGGTAATGAACTTTTAAATGGTGGTTATAATTGTTGAGTAATTTGGTTATCTCATCTTGGAATCTAGCTTTATGACATAGGGATTTTTCTTTCATCCTATCGAGGAAATATGTAGACAATTTATTTAATCAAGTGATGCAAAATTTCATGAAGTTTTTTGTAGGTTTATATTTTTATTGTATTTTGAAATTGTGCTTTATTGATGTTTTTTCATCCATTTCACTTCTTCCGTTTCAGTCTTGAATTTTGTTTTTCTTTTATTGTCCAAACTGCTATATTTTACGGATATATTTGAATTAATGCAGGTAGTGGCCATAAAATAATTTTAATTTGTGTTCCAGAATTTGTAAAGTTTTGAGAAATTCTACTTTCTTTGAGATATGTAAATTTCTTGCTAAATTTATAGAATGTTTTCAGTATTATGTGCTTTCAGACTTTCAAAAATATATCAAATTACATTTGACATTTGTCTATATTATTTTTACTTTTTATATGCAAGCTTTTTGCATATTTCGTATCTATGATCTTCTTAGTGTCTGCTTGGCCATTTTTGATCGTTTTCTTTGTTTTTAATCTTTTTTTTTTGCTTCCTCAATTTTTATTCAAAATTATTTCATTTTCATTCAGATTTATAGATTTCTTGATTATAGATATCTTCTAAAGCTGTTTGGCCTCATGCAACATAACACTCAACTTTTAAATAAAAATTTTTTAAATTTGATCTTGTTTAATGCTATTTACATTTCAGTGTTATTTGTCACTTTTCGATAGATCTTTTAATGGTTAAGGTGCCTAGAGCTACATGCAATTTCTGCATTCTGAAATTTGTCCTCAAGAAATTATTTGTAAACTTACATGGTTATATGAATATTAGGTAGGTTTTCTTAATAAAAGGTCTTTAGTTTATTCCCTTGACTTATACGAAGTATTACTTTGAATATGATTTGACAGTAATCTAATTTGAATCTGAAATGTAGAATGCAAAGAACTGTTCCTGTTTCAGTAGATAGTAATAATGGATTGAGATGGTATGTTTCCGTTGCTATATCTTTTGCATTTAAACTAAATAATGACTGTTCAAGACTGAACACTTTTATTTTTTTTTTTTTGAAAGTTTTTATGGAAACAAAGTTTGCTAATACAATTAATTGGAAAAATAAAGAAAGTGTGAAATTATAATTGTTCAACTGCATGAATAAACAGATATCTCAACTTGTTAATACACCTTCGAAAGGATTGAAACCATATTCATCTTCATCCATCCTAAAATTTAAATTGATCAAACGATCATTCTTTATTTACTGATGATAATTGCTAATTTCATTTTCATTCCAGTACTGTTTACTTTTTGTTTACATCTTTCTTTTCTTTTTCTATTTTTATTTGAAAGAAAGAAAGAAAAAAAAAATAGTGCTTAAAAAAATAAGACAAACATGATGAAGCAATCCTTATAACAGCAACATAAAGTTCCACTTATTATTAAATTTGTTGTTCCTTTAAAAGCTCTACATCTGTATTTCTCCTTTTGATAAATCTTCTCAACACACCACATCAGAGGTGATAAACTTGGTGATGCTTCAATTAATGATGGTATTTTATCTGCACAACCAACCTAAAATGATTATTGGATCGGATTATGTTGATAAATGTATTTCATTATCCTATCAAGATTTTATATTTTATTTATTTATTTTTGGAATATATGTCAGAAATTACAATAGTATTATTTTAATCATTTGAAATGATTATTCATGAAATAATAGTATGTGATTGTACTTATGATGATGATGATGATGATGATGATGATGATGATGACATATAAGTAGATAGATTTTACTTTAAGTAAGGAATAGAATATAAGATGAAATGAAAGATTTTCAAAATCAAAAAAAAAAAAAATTTCTTTTGAATTTCATAGTTAATTTTTATAAAATCAAAAATTTTAATCTTAATTTTAATCTTTATTCATAAAATCTCAATTATTTTTTTCTTTACCAACCAATTTTTCTGTTGAACTAAGATAACGAAAAATGAAGCAGCCAGCTGTTGACCAGCATTTTTCAACGATTGTTTCTGTTTTTTTAGCAATAACACATTGATGATAAGGTTGTGGTTTTTTTGTTTTAGAATGATAATATACTGAATACCTTAACTGATATCTTATCAAATCCATCAAATCTGCAATTCATACTTTTCCTTAGTATGTAAAATTTAATGTTAGCTTAAATTAATCCATTTGTTATTTCAATTTATTAATCAAATCTGCAAATCATACTTTTTCTTAGTATGTAAAATTTAATGTTAGCTTAAATTAATCCATTTGTCATTTCAATTTATTAATCAAATCTGCAAATCATACTTTTCCTTAGTAAAATTAGTAAAATTTAATGTTAGCTTAAATTAATCCATTTGTCATTTCAATTTATTAATCAAATCTGCAAATCATACTTTTCCTTAGTAAAATTAGTAAAATTTAATGTTAGCTTAAATTAATCCATTTGTCATTTCAATTTATTAATCAAATCTGCAAATCATACTTTTCCTTAGTAAAATTAGTAAAATTTAATGTTAGCTTAAATTAATCCATTTGTCATTTCAATTTATTAATCAAATCTGCAAATCATACTTTTCCTTAGTAAAATTAGTAAAATTTAATGTTAGCTTAAATTAATCCATTTGTCATTTCAATTTATTAATCAAATCTGCAAATCATACTTTTCCTTAGTAAAATTAGTAAAATTTAATGTTAGCTTAAATTAATCCATTTGTCATTTCAATTTATTAATCAAGTCTGCAAATCATACTTTTCCTTAGTAAAATTAGTAAAATTTAATGTTAGCTTAAATTAATCCATTTGTCATTTCAATTTATTAATCAAATCTGCAAATCATACTTTTCCTTAGTAAAATTAGTAAAATTTAATGTTAGCTTAAATTAATCCATTTGTCATTTCAATTTATTAATCAAATCTGCAAATCATACTTTTCCTTAGTAAAATTAGTAAAATTTAATGTTAGCTTAAATTAATCCATTTGTCATTTCAATTTATTAATCAAATCTGCAAATCATACTTTTCCTTAGTAAAATTAGTAAAATTTAATGTTAGCTTAAATTAATCCATTTGTCATTTCAATTTATTAATCAAATCTGCAAATCATACTTTTCCTTAGTAAAATTAGTAAAATTTAATGTTAGCTTAAATTAATCCATTTGTCATTTCAATTTATTAATCAAATCTGCAAATCATACTTTTCCTTAGTAAAATTAGTAAAATTTAATGTTAGCTTAAATTAATCCATTTGTCATTTCAATTTATTAATCAAATCTGCAAATCATACTTTTCCTTAGTAAAATTAGTAAAATTTAATGTTAGCTTAAATTAATCCATTTGTCATTTCAATTTATTAATCAAGTCTGCAAATCATACTTTTCCTTAGTAAAATTAGTAAAATTTAATGTTAGCTTAAATTAATCCATTTGTCATTTCAATTTATTAATCAAATCTGCAAATCATACTTTTCCTTAGTAAAATTAGTAAAATTTAATGTTAGCTTAAATTAATCCATTTGTCATTTCAATTTATTAATCAAATCTGCAAATCATACTTTTCCTTAGTAAAATTAGTAAAATTTAATGTTAGCTTAAATTAATCCATTTGTCATTTCAATTTATTAATCAAATCTGCAAATCATACTTTTCCTTAGTAAAATTAGTAAAATTTAATGTTAGCTTAAATTAATCCATTTGTCATTTCAATTTATTAATCAAATCTGCAAATCATACTTTTCCTTAGTAAAATTAGTAAAATTTAATGTTAGCTTAAATTAATCCATTTGTCATTTCAATTTATTAATCAAATCTGCAAATCATACTTTTCCTTAGTAAAATTAGTAAAATTTAATGTTAGCTTAAATTAATCCATTTGTCATTTCAATTTATTAATCAAATCTGCAAATCATACTTTTCCTTAGTAAAATTAGTAAAATTTAATGTTAGCTTAAATTAATCCATTTGTCATTTCAATTTATTAATCAAATCTGCAAATCATACTTTTCCTTAGTAAAATTAGTAAAATTTAATGTTAGCTTAAATTAATCCATTTGTCATTTCAATTTATTAATCAAATCTGCAAATCATACTTTTTCTTAGTATGTAAAATTTAATGTTAGCTTAAATTAATCCATTTGTCATTTCAATTTATTAATCAAATCTGCAAATCATACTTTTTCTTAGTATGTAAAATTTAATGTTAGCTTAAATTAATCCATTTGTCATTTCAATTTATTAATCAAATCTGCAAATCATACTTTTCCTTAGTATGTAAAATTTAATGTTAGCTTAAATTAATCCATTTGTCATTTCAATTTATTAATACTTTTTTATAAATTAGAATAGACATACTATTGCATGGATTGGTTTCATTAGATCGACATAATGTTGTATAAGTTGTATAATTCTCTTTTTTAGTTACAATAAAACGTTTTCTCGATGCAATTTCATCTTTAAATCGAGAATAGCGTAATTTGTAAAATCGATAAAATACACCATAATTGCCAATTAATAAAGATGTTGCACAAATTGGCATTTCTTCGGTTTCCTTGGTGCAAATAAAAATTATTATTGTGATAAATTTTTAAATGAAACTTACTTTTTCTTCCTAAATTTTATACTTTCTTCATTATTATTATCTTACTTTCTTTTTTTTTTTTCTTTTGTTAATAACAATAACATTATTAGTTATAATACCTGTTTAAAACCTTCTTTTAAAGTAATTTCTTGTCCAGAAATAAATAAAGGCTCATGACCAGTAAAAGAGGTGAAAAAACAGGTTGGCCGATTCCGGTCCTTTGTCTTTAATAGCATTTCAGAAGTAATTCCGGCATCACATTGGTTCTGAATTGAGCATACTTGCAAATATCATAAATATTAAATATACAACTGGAAGCAATTTAGTTTTTAAAAAGAATATATGACATATTGTAATTGTACTGTTATCATCAAGAATTCAAATAATTTTTATTTTATAATTAAATTAAGAATTAAAATAATTTATAATTAAGAATTAAAATAATTGTAATGTTATCATTAAGAATTTTGATGAAACATTAAGAGACATTTTCATGGTACCTTATTTACTTAGCATTATTGTTGCACTACATTCTGCATATTTAAGTAATCAACTGATGATGGAACTTACTGATTCTAAGGTTTTTGTTTTCCAATTACATTTACAACTGCGATATTGAAAGATTGTCCTTTCGCTTTCATAATTTCTTCTCAAATGACAGTATGGGTCTTTCAGTGTATGTATATGGTAAATAGCACATGACAGATTTCTCCTGTAATGAAAATAAACTCTGTGACATGATAGGTGACATTAAAGTGGAAGTAGAAATTCAATAAGGTAATATATCTTATTGTTTTCTTTCCTTTTTACAAAATCTTTGTTATCGTTAGCATATCATTCATCCTCATATAAGTTCAAAATTGTTGGTTCATCTTTTTGATAGAACATTTTTCTTTTTTTTTTGTATTTGTATGTTTTCCTTATTTTAATTTAAATAGTCATAATTTAAATAGTTTGCCTTATTTTAATTTAAATAGTTTGCCTTATTTTAATTTTAATAGTCATAATTTAAATAGTTTGCCTTATTTTAATTTAAATAGTTTGCCTTATTTTAATTTTAATTGTCATAATTTAAATAGTTTGCCTTATTTTAATTTAAATAGTCATAATTTAAATAGTCTGCCTTATTTTAATTTAAATAGTCATAATTTAAATAGTTTGCCTTATTTTAATTTCAATAGTCATAATTTAAATAGTTTGCCTTATTTCAATTTTAATAGTCATAATTTAAATAGTTTGCCTTATTTTAATTTAAATAGTCATAATTTAAGTAGTTTGCCTTATTTTAATTTAAATAGTCATACGTTATCCCAACTACCCTATCTCTTCCCTAAGTTAAATATAAATTCCATTAAGAGAGTAGAAAAAGAAATTTTCCCAATAAATTATTAGCAATTGAAAATATGAATAATATAAATTTGTTTATCTCATTTCTAGCTGCAAAAGTGTCACAGTTCATTTGAAATCATCTAAATTATAAATCTAAAAAACGCACTGTAAATTAGAAGTTAAAAATTTATAAAATCCTGAATACCTCAAAAATTTACAATGGCATCATCTACTTTATCATTTTTAATTTTATCACAGTAATTAAAGAATTTTGTTTTCTCTTTTAGAAATTGATCATTTCTCAAGTGCTGTTTAATGCTTTAATGTGTAAATTTGAAAAATTATAACTAAAGCAAAACTATGAATAGTCATAAACAAGAATAGAACAATTTCTAGAATTTTCATTAATTTCATTTTTACCCAAATGTTTTTTTTGTAGATTTTATTTTTCAAAACTGCGCCAATTATGTCCAAAAATTAATAACTAAACTTCTTTAATGGATAATCGATATAAATTTTCTAATGATAAAAAAGATCTAAATACTTATCAAAAATTATCTTAACAAATAAAATTAGAAGATAAGAAAAAAAATGTACTATAAATTTTTTGCTAAAACTAGCAAGTCAATTTTAAAAATTATAGTCTATAAGTCACATAAAAATTTGTTTAAAACTTTTCAAACAATCAATTTTGTGAAATAAATAAACATTGAAATATGTAAAATCGATGGGTAAAAGTAAGAATTTAAACTTAAATTTTCATAATAACAATTCATTTACTTAACATTTATATATTTTATTCAATAAAAGCTATATGTAATTTTTGACAATTGAATAAATAATTTAAAATATGAAAAGAAAAATATATATAAAATTATTTTTACTTATTTATCATTTTCTAATTATCCACTAAACCTTACACTCGCCAATCTTTTTTTCTCAACTAAAACAAAACCAAGTAAAAGATAAATCTGATGAGAGCAAAAAAAAGAAATTTCTGAAAATCTAAAATTTCCTTTTTTTTTTTTTTTCATATTTACTTATATTTATGATTAACAAATTTTAAAACAACAATTGTATCATATGAATTAAATTAAACAAAAATGATAACATTTTACTATAATTTGCTTAAACAAAAAAAAAAAAATTTTTAAGAGTTACAAATTAATGAGATTAAATTATTTGCATGCATTAATTCAATTTTTAAATATTACTAAATTTTTGAATCAAAATTCAAAATTTAAAATGAATTATACCTGTCACCGAGTAGTACAGTATTTTCAGCAAGTTTATGAAAGATTAAATTACGTTCATCCATAGGTATCTCTTCTTGAAGTCGAAAATCAACATTTCTCACACATTTATTAGTTCCAAATAATGAAGCTTGCAAATATGTTGTTAATTGTTGATAGCATGAATTGAAAAGACTGAAAAAAAGAAAAAGTAAATTTAATTATTAAATGACATTTAAAATGTATTTATTAATAATGCATATTTTTGTTAGAGATAATAGAAAGAATTTGAATTTGAATTAAATTAGTGTTTTGCTACTTATTTGCTATCTTTCAGTCATTTATTTATTTATTTATCTTTTTTTCCTTTTTTTTTACCTCTCTATTAAATATAACACTTAGTGAAAAAAATAATTTTTCATGAAACTAATATAGTGACATTTAAAATTAAATTTAAATCAAGCTCAAGAATCATGATGAATTTAAAGATATTAAATTAAACTCAAGAATCATGATTGATTGAAAAAATATTAAATTAAACTCAAAAATTATGATTAATTTAAAGATATTAAATCAAACTCAAGAATCATGGTGAATTTAAACATATTGAATTAAAATCAAGAATCGTGATGATAAAGATATTAAATTAAACTCAAGAATCATGATTGATTGAAAAAATATTAAATTAATCTCAAAAATTATGATTAATTTAAAGATATTAAATCAAACTCAAGAATCATGGTGAATTTAAACATATTGAATTAAAATCAAGAATCGTGATGATAAAGATATTAAATTAAACTCAAGAATCATGATTGATTGAAAAAATATTAAATTAATCTCAAAAATTATGATTAATTTAAAGATATTAAATCAAACTCAAAAATCACGATTATTAAATCGATCTCACGAATCATGATGAATTTGAAGATATTAAATCAAACTCAAAAATCACGATTATTAAATCAATCTCACGAATCATGATGAATTTGAAGATATTAAATCAAACTCAAGAATCACGATTATTAAATCGATCTCACGAATCATGATTAATTTAAAGATATTAAATCAAACTCAAGAATCACGATTATTAAATCAATCTCAAGAATCATGATGAATTTAAAAATATTGATACGTGGTAAAATATTTTGATTTTATGGTTAATGCTTCATAATCACGATATTCCAGCCAAGTGCTACATAAATTGCTAGCACAGCAACACGATGATTTGATTAGCACTGTTTTTGCTCGTAATGTATCAGCTAAACATTCCGGATAGTTATGTTTGCATCGTGTTATTTTACACTTCTTTTCAAAATCCGGTCCAACTTTGTACTGAATCCTGAATATCATGATAATGTTAAATTATTAATAAACGATTTCTCAATTTTCATTTCAATTCTTCTTCTAGTAATGTGTAGTTTGAAGCAGTTGAATGATATTATCAAAATTTGATCATTTTGAAATTTAAATTTTCAGATTCAAATGATTTAACTGAAAATTACTTTGATATGAATTAGTTATATGTTTCATCTATTTTTTTTGATTTAAGATAACAAAGTATTATCAGTTATTATCAGAAGTATCTTTATATCATTTAGAATACTATGATTCTAATGTAACTTATTTACTATTTTACATTATTTTGAAATTAATATTTTACCTTCAACTGAACCGGAATATGAGTAATAAATTTAAATTCAAATTAGATTAAATTTTTAATTAACTTTTCCATGCAACACATACATATCCTTTCTTATACAATTATTTAGTTGTTTATTCTTTCAAATTTCGTTAAGAAAAAAAAATAAATAAATAAATAAACCTAATGAAATAATCATTTAATGTCTAACCTATTTTCTAAATAAATGATCGTTGTCATTTTGAACTTAATTAATTATTAATATGCAAAAATTTGCAACACTAAAAACTTGAATGAAATTCTTCAAATAATTAATTTATCTAATCGTTGCTTCTTTCGTACATTATTTAAATCACTAATCAAAATCTTTGCTATCTTTTTTGATGATTCATCTATTCTAATTTTAATAATAATTATTATAATAGTATGATTCATCCATTCATTCATTCTTGCTATAATACCTATTTATTTCATTTCTAATTAAAGAAAATAAATTTCTTCATTGAAAGTAAATAATTTAATATTTTATTGATTATTAAATATCTATGCAAACCTTTTTGCTACATTATTTTGAAATAGAATTGCAAAAGAAAGTTTGCAGAATCGATATCTTAATGGAAGATCTTTAATTTGTAATTTAGTCCAACGTATCGATGAATTGATAATATCTTCTGATTCTGTATAAGAAAGTAATTGGGAACAGTAATAATGTGGTTCATTTAATCCCGGAATGATATTTGTTCCATTTGATTCTGTAAAAAAAACTTTTTTTTTTTTTAAATTAGAAATTGTATGAATTTTGAAGGTAGAAAATAAAGTTTATGTTTTAAATTTAAAAATTGGTTAGTGCTGAATACAAAATAATTGTGCAAAATATGCAAATTCATGCATGCAATTGCAATTATGCAACTTATATGTATTTTTTTTTATTGGTAGAAAAAAAAAAAAAAGATTGTTAATTAGTTGATTGATACAAAAGGTAAATTCATAAATTAAAAGTTATGAAGAAATGAAAAAAAAAAAAAAACTTGATAAAGGATATAAAATTTAAATTTTAAAAAATTCCTCTTTTTTTTTCTGCTTATTCTTGAATGTTTTCTTTTTTTTTTGATATATATGTTTGAAATTTGAAATAACAAAAGTGAAAAAGAATTAAATTGAATTAAAATTAAATTAAACAAGAAGAAGAAGAAAGTATTACCTTTAGAAGGTAAACTATAAATGAAATCATGATATGACCATATGATATCTTTTTGGCTAATTGTTATCGTTTGAGTGTGAAGTGTAATTGCTGGATTACTACTTTTAGCTATTTCGAGCCAAATTTTTTAATTTTTTTTAATTAAATTTTTTTGTTTTGGATCATAAGTACAATCAAATGGATTACTCCAACAGCAACATATTATAAAATATGCTTGCTGTGATACTAATTTCAAACATTCACCATCACCAATACCTGATGTACCATTAAAATCACAAACTTTACCATTTCGAAATAATGTTACTAAAGTTTCCTAAAAAAAAAAATAAATTAAAATTAAAAAGTATAAATCGACGATATTTATTGAAGTTTAAAGAAGAGAAAAAAAAAGGAAGTATAATAATTTTAGAATTTGTTACCACTTTTATACTTTCTATTTTTAGCAATAATGTCATTAAGACAATTGCGCCTATTAATATTTCTATTCTTTCAACCCACTTTTATACTTTCTATTTTTAGCAGTAATGTTATGTATAGTACATTAAGACAATTGCGCCTATTAATATTCTATTCTTTCATTCCACTTTTTTTTTTTTTGGTTTGAAGTTATAATATTAATATGGAGTAATTTGATTATAACATCTCATACAATCATTAATTTGATCTTTCTGAATTTTTATAGGATAGGTCATAGGTCACTGCTGTTGCTTAATCATTTCAAATCTCATATTTGATGTATGATACAAAAGTAAATTTTCACTGACAAAATCATGACTCGGATATGATACGAATATATCAATTTGATTCCAAAGCATCGGACCGCTATAAATTTTCATCTCGCTGTTGACATTAAAAATAAGTATGCATGGTTCATCGTCTATTATATTCTTCTAAAATAATTCTTCTTTTTTTTTTTTTTTATAAAGTAAGCATTTATTAAATAATAACTCTAAAATATGAGAGAGAAAATTAATTTTCAAAAATTTTTGCTCAAAGTTTGATCAAATCAAATAATGAAATAATTTAAGTGATTAATCAGTAAACATAAATTGTTATTTGCAAAGAATAAAAAAAAAGAAAATGTTAAAATTATAAAAATTAGTAAGAAAAAAGTTTCAGTAATATTTAATATTTTACACATACCTTTTTGTCACCATTAATATTAAAACAATATCTGTCACTGTCATGTAATGGTTCCAATTGTCTTTTATAGTAGTTATCCAATAAATCTTCAATTTTTCTGTTGTCAGAGTATCCCTACAATTTTAATTAAGCAATTATTAAATTTGAATTATATTGAATTTAATTAAGCAATTATTAAATTTGAATTATATTGAATTTATTTAAGCAATTATTAAATTTGAATTATATTGAATTTAATTAAGCAATTATTGAATTGGAATTATATTGAATTTAATTAAGCAATTATTAAATTTGAATTATATTGAATTTATTTAAGCAATTATTAAATTTGAATTATATTGAATTTAATTAAGCAATTATTGAATTAGAATTATATTGAATTTAATTAAGCAATTATTGAATTGAAATTAGTAAACATATTAATCAGTAAACAGAATTATTTGCATTGTAAATTACCATAAATTTTCTAATACAAAAAAAAAAAAAAAAATGAATTGCAGATCAATAGTTGTGCAAAAAAAAGTTATTCAGCAAATCTTTTAATTCATAACATAAAAATAAGAAATTGAAAATTTTTATAGATTTAAACAAAATGTTGAAGTGGAATAAGTTAGTGATTTACTTTTAAGAGTATACTGAATTTGAATAAGTATAAAAACTTTAGTAAATTTTAGTAATATAAAAATTTCAGTAAATTTTAGCATTCAAAATATTCCTAAAAGTAAGACACAAAAAATTAGGAAAATCTTCTAATGTTAGTATTACAATAAATAATTCTTTTACATACCTTATATGTTGTACAATTATTGCAGCAATAATAAGACACTTCAGAAAGAGAATCTATAGATCTATAATTAAATTCAAAATTATTAAAAAGTAAAATGGAAATTGAAAGGAGAATATATTTTGATTTTATTTTTTTTTTTTTTGATATTAATAGTAAATTATATTTTTCATACTATCAATAGTTGTTAAATGTAAACAAAAAAGTTTGTGGGTAATTTTTTAGTGGAAAATTTTCAATTAGGTAAATATTTCACTTAAAAACTTACTCATTATTAGATAATATTTTAATATCAACATATGAAATTCCATATCGACCTTCTTTAGTTTCACTGCATAATTTTTTAATGTTATTTTCGATCATCACAGATTTACCATTTTGATAAAGAATTGGATTTTTGGATACATCAATGATATCCACTGCCCACCAACAATATATATAATTCTTTAAAAAAAATAAAGAAAAAGACAATTGCGCTGGCTCTGACAAATGCGCTTTTTAATCCATTTGAAATGTGTCATTTTTATTTTATTTTCAGTGTAAGAGAATAAAAAAAAAATAATAAATAATAAAGTATATTTTGAAGTTATTTTGAGAAAGGAATTTAAAAATATGTAAAATTTGCTGCTACAATAAAATTGTTATTGTTGACAATATTCATTTAAAATTTTCTACCTTCTGTCCACACATTATGAATTTTGGGTTAGAAGCAGCAATTACTGAAAATTATTAACTAATTATTAAATTAAAAAAAAAAAAATTATTAATTAACTTTTTTACACAGTCAACTTAAGAACTATCAAAAGTTTCGAAGTAAAATCGTTCAATAACATTAAATTAATCGATATTTTTAACTTTTACTTTATGAGACAAAAGGATAAAATGTATAATTTACGTGTCACTCACGTAATCACATAAATTTTTGAAAAAATTAATAAAAGATGATGGATTTGAAATATTCCCTTCAGAAGAGGGGTAGGTAAGACAAAATGTGCTTCAAGTAATTTATGAAAAGTTGACAGAAAAGTTTTTAAAAATTATTTTTTTTTATAAAACTGATTTATATAATGAATAAGAAATGAAATAATTTACAAACAAAATACTAAAAAACAATTTGCTATTATTCATCCATTCATTTTTCTTATCATTTTATCATCAAATATTTGAAATGAATGCTTATGAATATAGAATTCTAAAAATTTTCAAATAAATACTAAAGAATTTCTACAACATTTAGCATAGCCAATGTGGAACAGAATCTATTTCAGTTCTTTAATACCGGTTAACAGGAGCAACCGGAATAGTGCATGCAATTGAAACCGTTCAAAAAAAGCCATTCCTGTGGAAAACAACCAAAAACCGGAAGGCTGACGGATGAATGATCCATTTATTATTATAGATAAAAAATTTGTTACTTATATGAGTAATTACTTTAAGGCTAGAAATTAGCATATTTTCATAAATTCAATTAATAACATAGCAATGATTGAAAATTGAGTGCAAATCTTTTGATTTATGAAAGTTGGAAAGATTAATGTTAAACTTTTTTTTTTTTAAATCTTTAATTTCGATTAAGCATTTGT